TCCAATATGTTTGCTTTTAAATGTGATTTATAAATACCTACACTCTGCTCAAGTTTAAAATCCACAATGCCGAGGCAGCTAGGTGGCACAGTGGATACAGCACTGGATCTGAAGTCAGGAGGACCTGAGTTCAGATTCGACCTCAGAACAAACACTTGACACTTACTAGCTGTATGACCCTGAGCAAGTCATTTAACCCCAGTTGCCTATTAAAAAAAAAATCCACAATGCCCTTCTGCCTTCATTCTTCTCCTTCAAATATTGCTCAAAATTCACCTCCTTTTAGAAACTTTTCCTAATTATACAATTAGATTAAACCTTTACTCTACATTTTCATGGAAAATTTGTTATTAATCTGTACCTGTTAGTTTATTGCTACATATATACTAGGTCTTTTGACGCAAGTTCATTATGTTTTTCTAAATGAAATACCTTGCATTAGTACTCAAATGCATCCTTAATTGACTGATATGAATGATCCCTCCAACAGTACCCATCCTGTGCAACACTTATCAATGCTCTCATCATCTAAGTTTCGTGCTTGGTAAGGATTCTTAGCTTTTTTGTCACGGAACCCTTTTGTAGTCCAATAAAGATTACAAAATGTTTTTTAAATTCATAATTGAAAGAAATGCTACATTTCAGCTAAAGGTGAGAATAAAGATGTAATTGTTTCTCCCATCCAAGTTCAGAGACACCCCCCCCAACTCTAAAGGGGGAAAAGGGTTATTCCTTGCTTTCTCTTGATATACATGGATACCAATTTAGCACTCAGACTGTTTCTCAGTTATCCTTACTCTTGTCATATGACCAGGTCATCTTTTTTAATCACGCATATCATTGATGACATACTTTATCAAGTATTTCAGCCTGCTCACACACAGCAAGTTCCTTTCATTGCTATCTGAATATCTGATTAATTCTTCAGACTGTATAGTGTTCTATGACTAACAACCATACAATTGACAGGAGTATTAAAAAGATAGATCTTACTTTCAATGACTTTAGGGACATTAAAAGAACTGTGCAATTTCCCTTTGGCAATCCAATTCGTTCTCCTATTTAATTTTAAGCCAAACTCATCCATTTTTACATTTTTGTTATTAATTCAGTACTATCTTACCCAAGATATAGATGCTGATAAACAAACTTTATATCAGTCTGGTTAATAAGCATGTTTCATCCAGTAAGTACTGTGGATAGACCAAGTCTTTCAAGTGTTTATCTCCTCCAGGAGTGTTCTAGAGCTTGAGGCAACCATTGCTAATCCAGAGCAGAGGTGTCAAACACATTGCCCAGTGTGACTAGAATACAATTAAAATGCAATTGGGAACTATTTAACCAAATAAAGATACATTAGAACATAGGTGTTAATATGTGGTTTTCTAAATCAATATGGGCCTGGGAGGGATCCTTATGTAGTCATTTCTGTTTGAGTTTGATAACCACTGATCTACAGGACCTCACCATTCTATTCGTTGAGAATCCTCTGCACTTAACAGCTATTGTGACAATACTGAATGTCTTTAGCAAGCATCTTTAACCTGAAGTTAACCACCAGAGGCATTTTTGAACAGTCATTCAGAGGCCCTGGGATCAAATTCAGGTTCTGAATATAACTTTAGGCAGGTCACTTCTAAAGCCTATTTCTTAATCTATAAAATGAAAGGGCTGGAGGAGGAGACCTCTGACATCCCTTCCAAACCTGTGATGCTAAGAGCATTTAGGGCAGTGTTTTTGCTTTACCAAATCAAGTTTGTTGACCATTTTAAGAAGCCAAACAAAAAGCACAATGGGAACTTGTATTCTCTATGTCTTTAATTCAATAGTGCTAGCAAACATATGGTCTGTTGTGTTAAGATTGCTTACAGAAAACTGCCTGTACCCTACTAATGAAGCAGAGATGCCCTAGATTCCTGTATTGCTTTCTATTTCCCAAATGCTTTAACATCTCATTTCATCTTGAGAGTAGTCTTACCCTTCAATGCCTAGTACAACACTTTTACACTAAAGCTAAGTGAATCTCACTGACATCTGTTGTTCTTAGAGTTGGAAAACATTTTAAGATGAGCATTAATAGGGAATTACTATCCTTCAGAGGAAAATATTTTACTGTAAATTTATCTAATAAAGTAAAATTCAGTAAGGCAGATCTGATTTTCCTGTCTTATAGAAACTATCAGATAACAGTAACTAATTTATGATATACATCCTGCCCTGATAATGGCCTCCACAGTTCTCAGAATTGTATGTCTTCTGTTCTTTTGTCTCAGCATTAAAAACATCTACAACCACATTAATTTTGACACTAGGTCTCACTAATGATATTTTCAATGAAATGTTCCTTAAGTCTGCACAGCTTCATATTACATAAAACTAACATTCCCTATTTGATCAATTTCTGTTAACTCAAATTTCTGGATAAAGAGGTTTAGAGGTTTCTCTATTAAAGTCTGTCTATATTGGCTTTCAGAAATGTCTATTAAAGCTATGCCAGAGGATTGACATATCAAAAATTAAACCAGACACATTAAAAATGCATAATTTATTTTAATTTTTTTGGCACACTCATTTTAAATAAAAAACACTATCCCTAACTTTATTTTTTTCAATATGGGGTAAGAAAATAGATTGTATCAAACATTCCAGATTAATTACCATAACTCAGAATAAAGTAATTTTTATTAATATGCAACCTTCTGGGTTTTTGTTCATTTTATAAGGGAAGTACAGAGCCTCAAGCAATAGCAACAGAGAATAAAATATTTTTAAAGAATAGTTTGACAAACCTGTAACCAATCTGGCTCGTTCTGACAATGGTCCCTTGTAATGAGTTATTTCCTCCTATATAACTTTCAGTTCAAGCTAGAATTGCTTATCACCAGGAAGGTCAGGTTAGTTTCCAGGATTACATTTTCATAACTGCACATCAGGGTGAATCATAACGACAGAATGGAGTGTCAGTTGTACATGTGTGCTACATCTGCTCAGACACTTACATAAAGGTTAAACAATGAGAAAGTAAACTTCTGTGGCTCAAAGTACCTGGGGCTGGGTCCACACACTACACACACAAGGAAGCATTGGTCAGATTTATTTTAAATAGTTATTAACAATTCCAAACAATTATTAAAACAATGATTCAACAGAAAGCCTGGAATTGAGATGTTTTCAAATGATTTTCAATTATCCTGTACATGAACCCAACCCCCCCTCCAAAATAAAGCAAACTATAACCAAATGGAGTAAAATTTCATAAGATGTTTACTTGCCCACCATAAGACACACTTCTCCACAGAGGGCTTTTAGTACATTCTTATTTTACGTAAGACAACTCAAAAGGGTACAAAATAACTTTCACCTATTTGACATTTTATCTTCTTAGTAGAATCACTGACCATTTAATACATAAGTCTGCTTTTGTCCCCTTTTTAAAAACCATTTCCAATGGTTCACTACTATCCCTCCTTCTTATTCTTTCAGGTTGGACATGACAATGAATGGATTTTGGCAGATGTCCAACATAACTGACCAGCATTTTACATATGTACATTAACAATATTATTTGGTGTGGTTTTCCAAAGCTGCATGAGTATGGAATCCATGAGGGTTTACTTACAAATAACTACCAATTACTCTTGCAGCAGCAGGCCTCCACTCCTATAGCTGTAACAGTCTGATGAATGCAAGTATCAATTCAAGCGTGAAATTCTGACTTTTCGTTTCAGTTCTGCAAAGAAGTCTGCTTATATTTCGTGTTGTGTCTTCATTGCAAGATGGGAAATAACTGTTTACATCAAATTTCATAGAAAAGTGTAAAAGGAAACAGTCAACTAGATGGTCTGATTTTTTAGAAAATTAAAAAAAGTTACTGTTTTATGACTTTATTTTTGATGAGGCTATACCTCCCTCCACATTGACAGGGATCATGTAGCTGAAACTAAAAATAACTTAAATTCCAAAGAAAGTGGAATTTTAGCCCCCCCACTCCCCCCAAAAAAAGCTACTTGACTACATTTCCCAATGGAAATGCCAGCTATGGACAGGGTTGGAGGCCATGTGTCTTTTGACTTGGGAGCACACAGAATTTAAATGCATATTAAAAATTTGCACAATGGTTGGTTGTAATTGGCATTTAAAGTTCATGAAACTTAGTAATGCCCATTACAAATAACTTAACTGTACAAAATGGATAACAAAAATAACTGGCTAATTTAAAAAAGGAACCACTTTTGTTTAACTGACATAAATTATCTTACTAAGAATAACCGATGTGACTGGGATAGAGTGTAGAAACTGCTTAAGATAGTTATAACAGCATGGTGATAGGCTTTTCAATGTATTTTTTGAACTCCGCAAGCCACTGAGCTCCAACTGCTCCATCCACAACCCGATGGTCACAGCTGAGTGTAACAGACATCATACTAGCTACATCAAATCTAAGGAAAAAACAAACAATAAATCAGGTACTCTGAAAGTAGTCATCAGATTTTCAGACCTTAAGTATCCCAGAAAGTTAAAACCTGGCCCATAAGTAATAATTGTGGCAATTCCCTCCCTCACCTAAATTCATTGCTTGAAAAGATAGATCAGACAGCTTGTTGTAGTCCTTTAACATCCAAGAAAGAATAAGATTTTCAATAGGGAATTTATAGGTTGCTACATTTAAACAAGATAAATACAGTCTCTGCCTCCAAAGAACTGAATTCTACACTTCTAATTTTACTTATCTTGTTCTGATATATAAATACATCCAAATATGGACTGTAAAAGTAGAGTTTAAAAAAATAGTCTAATAATTTAGCAATTAGTTTTCCCCAAGTAGCACTTACCCTTTTTCATTATCTGCTGGAACTAGCCTATTCTCTGAAGCACCAACTGCCAAAATACATGCCTGAGGTGGGTTAATAATGGCAGAGAAATTCTTAATTCCAAACATGCCTAAATTTGAGATGGTAAAAGTACCACCCTAACAAAAAGAAAAAAGGAGAAAGAATATAACATTAGAAAACAGAATGCTTTAATTCCTTCAAATATGTAAATTATTACATTACATAAACAGGTAATGTAAGTAGATTACATAAATAGGCAATGTCACAAAGCCTAATCTTTTGTTTTACAATTACTCAGGAATTTTTAATATATCAGAAAATGCATATGTTCCATTTAAACATGACTAGACTCAGTCTTAAGAGTTAAACTCAAACTTAAGTTTGTAATCATTCTATATAGGGTAACAAGACAAGGTGCTGTGAAAACTACCTGTGTACACAAGTTGAAATGTTTATTTAATTTCCTACAACACAAAATCCAAAATCTCAATTTGTCTTCAGCATGTCTATCATAAATAGCAAGTGACAGAATCAATAGGCAAGAAAATGTTTTGATATTTTTAAAGCCAACATAAAATAAGTAAATTATTTACCTGGAATTCATGTGGCTGAAGTTTACCCTCTCGTGCTTTGGTTGCTAAGGAAACTACATCATTAGCAATGGATTCCAGTCCTTTTATATGTGCATTAAATACAATAGGTGTGATGAGTCCAGAAGGAGTACTGACTGCAACATTAACATCAACAACATGATTTCTGTTTGGGGAAAAAAAAATAAAAAGGAAATGTGATCTGAATAATCGGCAAAGTTATTAAGTATTTCTTCTGAGCAAAGGAATTTTTAAAAAAAGGTTTAAGAAGTAGTCTTAATTACAGCTGACATTTACACAGCAGTTTTATGTGAAGTGTTTTATAACTAAAATTCGAAAGAGTTCAGAGGAGAGAGATCACATCTGGCTGAAGTGATTAGGAAAGACTTCACTTAAAAGGTCCAAAAGTATTGGGATAGGTGTCCTTAAGAGGTGGTGGGATCCCTCTGCTTCAAGCAGAGGCTGAATTGCTAAGTATGTTATAGTGAAGGATATGGATTGGATCAGATGGCCACTGAGGTCCCTTCTGACCCTCAAATTCCATCACTCTGTGAAGTTCTATTATGTTATCTACCTAGACCTTATCACAGGCTAGGATTCCAGTCCAAGCTATGATTATCACAGACAGTAAATATTCTCAGATTTAGAAGAGGGAACAGGACAAATTTGGAGAAACACCAGGTATAAAATAAGTAGATCAATTTGGCAGAAGGGAAGGGGGTTCATGTATGGGATACTCCATCTAGAAAAGCAAACTAGGGCCAGACTATATGTGAAATGCCTCAAAATGGTCAGGCTAAGGAGTTCATGTGCAACCTTTTAAAAAAAATTATTATTTTGAAAACATCAACAAAATTGGTTTCATTTGTAATTCCTGTTTTATATACTTAATATTCAGTGAACAGCAGCCTTCACCAGACTACCAAAGGGATTCATGATACAAAATAATAAAGACATTTTGAAGATTTTGGAACTGGAAACAATTAGAAAAATTAAATATTATACAAATACATATGAATATGTGTAATATATGTTGCTCTCCTTTACTATTAACTATGAATGACTGCTATCTCTATGCAGGTTTAGATAAAAGATTAAGCTGTGATGAATAGTACTTTCTACAAAGGTACATCCTATTTTCAGCTGCAGCCACTATCTATAAAAGTTGTGTTACTTATAGCTCAATCTATGACTCCCAGTTAGCCCAAAATCTTGGTTCAGAAGACCTTTGTTGGACATCAAGCTTATGTGTAGATTGCTCTAACTTCCCAGAAGTTCACACTGTTTGAATTTAGCACTTTAAATGTTCCACAAAACAACCTGGTAAGATAGATAATGCAAATATCATCCCCAGTTTTAGATGAGGAAACCAAGGCTCACAGTGGTTAAGTTACATGCTCAAGGTCACACAACTAGTAAATGTCAAAGTCAGGATGTAAACCAGTCTTTCCACAATACCACACCTCCTAAAACTACTAACCTAGTGATTCTCCAGCTTAGTCATACTGGCTAAAAGTAAAGATAGACAAAGACTCCACAGATTCCATATTGGCCTTTTCTCTTTGTGGTATCAAACATGTGAGAAGTATCTTCAGTAGTCACTCAGGGCCTATTTGTCAAACAAACAAGGTATTTGGCCTCTATCCTAGGGCTCAAGCACCTGGTAAGAGGTGGGCAAATAAAGAAAAGAAAACAGAGGCTATGTTATGGTGCTCTCATTTGTACTACATTGGTGCTTCTTAAAACAGGGCTAATAGAACAAAATTACTTGCCCAACTTAACAGTTATTAAACAGTTTGCAGCTGGGCCTTAAATCCAAGTTTTCTGACCCTGACATCAGAGTATGGGAAGGATAAGAAAGGGAATAAGCATTTATATAGCACCTACTATGAGTCTGGCACTGCGTTAAGCACTTTTTACAAATATTATCTCATTTGATCCTCATAAAAACCCTGTAGAAGGTAGCATTTTAAAGGTCTCAGGAAACTGAGACAAACAGCGATTAAGTGACTTGTCCAGGGTCATACAACTAGTAACTAAGGCCATATTTGAACTCAACTCTTCCTGAATCCAGGCCCAGTACTCTACCCACTGTGCCACAAACTATATGTAAACATTCATACAACACTTTCTCCTTGTTCGTAAGAGTTTATAACATAGTTAAACATTCAACAACATACTGTCTTTGTATTGTTTTGAATTGTTTCATATGTATAAATCATTTTCATCATGAGACATAGGGAAGAAAACTTTTCTTCTGTTTCCACTTTTTCCCTGGCCCTACATTAATTAACACAATAATGGACATATTAGGCATTTAACAAATACTTAATAATTAATAGCTTAATTCAATAAAGGTATACTTACTGCCTTATAACTGTGTCCATCCAAGAAGAATTAGCTTCAGGTACTTTCAAACACGCCAAAGCTGAAGCTTTAATGATGAAGTCGTTGACAGAAATCTTACTGTTACCTGCCAATGTCTGTAAAGAAAAAAGACAATCTGTTGGCTATTTTATTCCATAAACCCTCAAACTGCACAATCTTATAAGGAAAGAGATTACATGATGCAAAATCTAATCTAAATAGATAGCTGGTAGAAATGTTAATTAAAATTTTTAGCATAAAGCAAGATGAGTTAGAGATACTAACATTAAATGTTGCTTTTAGTAAAATGTTTCATTTAAGGAAAAATTTAGTATTAAAAAAGTCTCCCATAAGTTGAAGTTCATTTAACATTTCTTTTTGCATCTTCAACTTTGGAAACATGAGTTCAGGGTTCTGAATCAATTTCCTTCAGGAAAATCTCAGCTCAATGATCCTAACTTAATTTCACTTGCTTTTCTATGGTTACTATGAAACAAGAGTCACTTGGTTTTTGTTGTGAAATGAAATTTTTAAGTGAAAGAATGCTGTTGCACAGTCGGAGAAACTACTAGACAAAAACAATAATAAACATCTGATAAGAGGAAAAATAAAGGAGAGGCAACAGCACAGTGAAGAAGAAAAGCACTCTTTTCTAATGCTTATGTGCCACCTACCTCATAGGTAGTTGTGAGAATATGTCTGTAAACTATTAAATAGTGAAAAAATGTGAATTGTTATAAAGTGGCACTATTTTATGCAGAATTCAGAAGTATGGTTAAAGCAAAAATATAGGGAACAATTTGGATAATGATGAGCATGTTGCATGACTTTTCGTGTTACACAAATAAGGTTGAGTATTTAATTCAAAGCATGCTGCTAACCACTAAATAGTAGTTCATACTTCTAAAAATAATGAAATTTGACTTCAAGTGAAAAATCCAGAAAAGCAGTACAAATACTATAATGGACTCAATGAACATATATTTGTACTGACTCAATGAACATATATTTGTACTCAATGTCAAATCACCAAAGAAACAGACCAAATGGATAATATAACAAAAATCTTTTTTTACATCTTTTTTTTTTATCCCAAATATCCAGTCACCAAGTTCCATTTGTTCTTCATTTTAAAATATCACTTTTCTTTCCTTCTTCTCCATTCCAATACTGCCCACTTCATCCAGACTGTCACTGTTTCAAATCTTGTGTCACTGCAACAGCCTACTGTTCTTTCTTTAGCCTTCCTTCATAACCATACAACACTGCAGATCCAACCTCTTTCCCAACTATTCCATTCCAGTCTCTTCCTGATGTCCACAGAATCTCAGTGTTAGAATCACAATGAAACTTAGAACACATCTAGTCCAATGGTCTCATTTTATAAATGGAAGGGGGGAAAAAAAAACAAGGCCCCAGAGAGGTAAATGGCCTGCCCAAAATTACATTAGTGGCAGAATTAAGAACTCAGTTCTGATTCCCCCCCTCTCCCCAGCCAAGATTCTTTCCAGTAAGGCCTTTACTTTAGTCATTCTCCCAAACTGAAATCCCTCCCCCACCTCCCCCCACAATTCTATACATCCTTCAGGGACCAACCTAATCCCACCCCACCCCCTTTCCCAACTATCCCCAATGACTTGTCCAGGGTCATACAACTAGTAGGCCATATTTGAACTCAAGTCTGACCATAGAAAGTTACCACAGTGACAAGGAAGATCAAAACACACACTCAGAAGAAGATAACAAAGTCAAAGCTTCCACATCCAAAGCCTCCAAGAAAAATATGAATTGAGGGCAGCTAGGTGGCCCAGTGGATAGAGCACGGCCCTGAAGTCAGGAGGAACTGAGTTCAAATCCAGTCTCAGACCAGAGATGCAAGAAAATCATGAAAAACAAGTCAATAGCTTGGTAAAGAAAAGACAAAAAAATACTGGAGAAAATAACACTTTAAAAAACAGAGTAGGCCAAATGGTAAAAGAAGCAAAAAAGCCAATGAGAATTAGAACGAGGCACAAAAATTCACTGAAGAAAAAAAACTTAAAAGTAGAATTGGCCAAATGGAAAATGAGGTACAAAAAGTTCAATGAAGAAAATAATTCCTTTAAAATTAGAATTGAGCAAATGGAAGCTAATGACTTTATGAGAAATCAAGAAACAATAAAATAAAACCAAAAGAATGAAAAAATAGAAGATGATGTGAAATATCTCATTGGAAAAACAATTGGAATACATCTTTCTCCTGGTCATCCTTCAGCTGTGAGGACTGCATGCCTGACATCTACCTGCCAGCCATGGACCCCAAATGTAACTGTGAGAATGGTGGCTCTTGCACTTGTGCAGGCTCCTGCAAATGCCAATCATGCCAGTGTGCCTCCAGCAAGAAGAACTGCTGCTCCTGCTGCCCAGGAGAATGTACAAGTGTGCCCAGAGCTGTGTCTGCAAAGACCCCCCCCCCCACTGGGAGTTGCAGCTGCTGCCAATAATGTCCTAACTTCCCTTTGACTGTAAATAGAAGAATTTGTGCAGTCCTGAATTTTTGTACTACATGGATGTATTTTCTACTGTTTTTCTATGAAATGTATGAATTAAAATAAACTTGATAAATACCTTTAAAAAAAAAAACAATTGACCTTGGGGCAGCTAGGTAGCGCAGTGGATAGAGATCCAGCCTTGGGAGTCAGGAGGACCTGTGTTCAAATCAGGCCTCAGACACCTGACACTTACTAGCTGTGTGAACCTGGGCAAGAAACTTAACCTTGACTGCCTCACCAAAAAAAAAAGAACTGACCTGGAAAATAGATCCAAGAGAGATAAGTTATTTGACTAACTGAACCAAAGAGTAAAACAGAAATTGAAAGAATACTGATCACCTCCTAAAAGAGATCCCAACATAAAATCTCCCAGATCAAGGAGAAACTATTACAAGCAGCCAGAAAGAAACAATTCAAGTATCATGGAATCACAGTCAGGATAACACAAGATTTAGCAGCTTCAACATTGAAGGATGGTAGGGCTTGGAATATGATATTCCAGAGGGCAAAGAAACTAGGAGCATAACCAAGAGAAATGGATATTCAATGAGATAGAGGACTTTTAAGCATTCTTGATGAAAAGACCAGAGCTGAATAGAAAATCTGACTTTCAAATACAAGACTCAAGAGAAGCATAAAAAGAAAAACAAGAAAGGGAAATCCTAAGAGACTTAAGGTTAAACTGTTTACATTCCTACATGGGAAAATGATACTTGTAACTCATAAGAACTTTCTAATTAAGGCAGATAGGAGGAGTGTACACAGACAGAGGACACAGTTGTGAGGTGAACATGAAGGGATGATATCTAAAAAAATAAAAAGGTGAGAGGAATGTACTGGGAGAAAGGGAGAGGTAGAATGGGGTAGATCATCTTACATAAAAAAGGCAAGAAAATGCTTTTATAGTGGAGGGGAAGATGGAGGGAGGGGGAGTAAACAAACCTTACTCTCATCAAAACTGGCTCAAAGAGGGAATAACATACACGCTCAATTAGGTATAGAAATCTGACCCTACACCAAAGTAGGGGGTGAAAAGGATGGGGGGGGCCCCACGGTATGGGATTGAAGGAGAGGGTAGTCAGAAGCAAAACACCTTTTTTTTTTTTGCTTAGGCAGTTGGGGTTAAGTGACTTGGCCAGGGTCACACAGCTAGTAAGTGTCAAGTGTTTGGTCCCAGGCCAGATTTGAACTCAGGTCCTCCTGACTTCAGGGCCAGTGCTCTATCCACTGCACCACCTAGCTGCCCCCGAAGCAAAACACTTTTGAGGAGGGCCAGGGTGAAAGGAGAAGGAAAACAGAATTGGGGGGGATAGGATGGAGGTGAAATACTGTTAGCAACAGTAAAAACAGTGAAAAAAATTTTGAAGTTTCTCCAATAAAGGCATCATTTCTCAAACATATATAGAGAATTGAGTCAAATTTATAAAAATGAGAGCCATTCCCCAACTGATAAATGATCAAAATACATGAGCAGTTTTCAAATGAAGTAATCAAAGCTATCTATGGCCATACGAAAAAATCCTCTAACTCCCTATTGATTGAAGAAATGCAAATTAAAACAATTCTGAGGCACCACCTCAAACCTATCAGATTGGCTAAGAGGACAGAAAAGGAAAATGACAAATGTTGGAGGGGATGTGGGAAAACTGGGACAATAATTCACTGTTGGTAGAATAGGGCTATAAAACCCTTTGATCTAGCAATACCACTACTAGGTCTGTATCCCAAGAGATAAAAAACAAAAAGGAAAAGGACCTATACATACAAAAATATTTATAGCAGCTCTTTTCTGGTGGCAAAGAATTGGAAATTGAGGGGATGCCCACCAAAAGGGGAATAGCTGAACAAACTGGGTATGTGATTATAATAGAATAATATTGTGCTATAAGAAATGAACAGGATGCTCTCAGAAAAACCTGGAAAAACTTACATGAGCTGATGCAAACTGAAATGCACAAAGCAAAAGCAATATTGTAAGATGGTCAGCTAAGAACGACTTAGCTACTCTCAGCAATACAATAATCCAAGACAGCTCTGAAGGACTTTATGATGAAAAATGCTATCCATCCCCAGAAAAAGAACTGATGGTGTCTGAATACAGATTGAAGCATCCTTTTTTTTAAACTTTCTTTATTTTTCTTGAGTTTTTTTTTGTCTATGTTTTCTTTCACAACATGACTATTATGGAAATGTTTTGTATGACTTCACATATAACCTATATCTAATTGCTTGCCTTCTCAAAAAGGGGGTAGGGAGGAAGTGAGAGAATTTGGAACTCGAAGTTTTAAAAACAAATGTTAAAAATTGTTCTTACATGTAACTGAGGAAAAATAAAATACTAAATAAATAAATTTAAAAAAAGAAAAACTATTGTGATCCATGCCTTGTAACCACGCAACAAAACTAGAATGAAATATATATGAAAGCAATGAGGCCTTGTATCTGGGAGAAGTTTGTAGTCACTAAATATAAGAAATATTCTTTAGTTCAATTGTAAATTACATGGTATAATGATATACATGGTATATGTCTATCACTGATAGATCTGGAAGTAAGAATAATTTAATAAATTAGAAAAACAATAACTTAATTTTATGAAGTATAAGTAGACAAGGAGCTCACAAACCCAAAGTTACTGAAAAGCTTTTTACATCTTGGCTCATTTTTATCTTAATGTAATATGGTACTTTTGGAGACATCATTCATCTACTATACATGAAAATAACAATACTAGTGGTCTTAGCCCTTGGAATTTGATTGTTGTCTATACTGAAATTATTACAGATAAAGATACTGAGGGAAATAAGAGATATGAAGCATGATAAGCATGACAAGATTTGAAATAAATATCTCCCATTTTAAAAAAAATACAATTAATACAAATACAAATAAAATAAAATGCAAAATACAAAACACAAAAAAAATACAAAGTTCAACAGACTTAGTATAAAGACACAATATACAGGGGGAAAAAAAAATCATTCCCAGATAAGAATTTCCCAACATCTTACCATGTTGAGTTCTTTCCGTACTTCTAAAGCTTCACCCATGTTTACATCAATAGAAAGATAATAATGAGGTATTGTTTGTTTGGACTGCATTAAACGCTGGGCAATAACCTAAAACAAAAAAAATGTCACTTGGGCAGGTTTGTAAATAATCACTTAAGTAAAAATTTCACTATTTCTTCTTTCTCCCATTTCCCTCCCAGTCAAAATCCTTAAAATTAGTAAATCAGCAATGAAACATATCAACAGGACTAAGGAACTGGAACTTGCATTTTATCTTAGTATTTTCCTATTCTATTAATTAAAGTAGAACAAAGTCACTGATTAATTCCAAGTACCTCAACATTCCAGCCACCTCACCCCTCAATTAAGAAATCACCTTGTCATCACTTTGCACTGGAGCAACTTAATAGTAAACACAACAGCTATTTCTAGATTTATAGAAGCACACTTACTCTACGAATGTTGCTGATTGGGATATCTGTGAAAACACCAGTTGGAACTGCTGCCACTCCTGGAGCTGGTGTAGGCATGGCAGCTATTGGAGGGGGAGCCTGTGGACAAAAAAGTTTAAAAAACTCTTAAAAACCAAGAACCCATCTTAGAATAATTTAGTCTAAGATTCTTAATGAGCAGCTCATTATTGTCAAGTGACCTATTTAGAGATACTGGAATGAAAATTCAATTTGTTTTTAAAGAATGGTTATTTCCAAGTCATCTTTAATCAACAGAAAGGACTTGTTGTACCCGCTTCTGAATTTTGAATTCATATTTAAGCATTATGTCCTCTAAGTCACAGGACCATTGAGTAGTTTTTAGACTGGAATAATCCCCCCCTCCTCCCATATTTTCACAGAAATGACTTAAGTAGAAAGAAGAGCAAATATCACCCCTTTCCAGAGCTTGGGAGGCAGTATGGTATAATGGATAGTGAGCTGGGCTTGGGAGTCAAAAAGACCCAAGTTAATAAATTCCTGTGTCTGACACAAATTGGCTGTGACCACAGACAAGCTGCATAACCTCACAACAGACAATTCTCTAAAATAAGTGCAGAAAAGCTGCTAATGTGCAAATGTAGAGGGAGTTTCCTCACCAGGTAGTTCCCTACATTGATGAAAATAAAGGATTGGACTAAAAAAATAGTTTTAGAAGGATTGGCATGACTTAATTTTAAAAGAAAATATTATCAATCTTATTTAATTGCAATATTGTTGAGTGGTTTATGAGCATGATTCTCTAACCAAAATGGTCTAATGAAGGGAAGGTCAGGGATGCTAATGTAAGCAAGTTAGATACAGTACCAGATTGAAACCAGTAAACCAGTAAATTAGTCTGTTAACAACTGGGATTAGATAAAATTATGTGAAGATATTGGTGCAAATTCTAGATTGCTAATACTTGAAAATCTCAAAACACATTTCTGATAGTCAGTAATGCATCTCTGTACACCAAGGGTAGAACACTAAATACCTGTTCACTAAATTTAAACAGAAGCAGAAGAAACCTTATATTTCTGGTATCAATTTCACACAAAAGTACTGAATGTAACATTCAACATGCAAACCAAATAATTAGGAGTGAAAACTATTGCAAAAGAACTGTTACCCTCATGGAAAACAATAAGCAAAAAGGACCAAGTTCAACTCACAGGAGCAGCCTTTGAAGGCACAAAGGACTCAATGTCTTTCTTGGTGATTCTGCCATCTGGCCCTGTTCCTGGAAGACACATACAAGAATACAACTGGATTTCTAGTGTAATTATTACTGTTGTACCAATCAACCTAGCACTGACAAAGGTTTCTCCTTGCTCCTGGACAAAGCTTCCTGGAACATGAAATCTGTTTGAGTCCAATTATCATTCTCCAATATGTGAAAGTAAACCACGTGCAGAATTTTGCATAAATAGTCTGCTTCCCCTGTACCATACATGGTCAGCTAGGTTACACAGTGGATAAAGCATTGGGCCTGGAATCAGGAAAATTTGAGTTTAAATCTAGCATCAGATACCTACTAGCTGTGTGACCCTGGACAAATCTGTCTGCCTCAGTTTTCTCATCTATAAAATGGAGTTAATAGCACCTGCCTCCAGGGTTCTAATAAACATCAAATGAGATAATTTTGAAGTGCTTAGCATAGTGCCTGGCACATAGTAAGCACCATATAATGTGATAATCATTGAAGATCAATTGAGCCCCAATAAGTGCCAAAAACCTGAATTAATCTTTTCTTCCAGAGTGAACTGAGAATGCCCCTTCCTGTGTAGACAACTAAAGCTGATCAAGAGCTTTCTTCTGTTTATGACCACTAAGGCACCTTTAACCTAGACACCACCTTGAATAATGGCACCTTTCTTATCTTGATATTCTATGGTGGTAAAGGAAACACATTTATCCTGGATCTGACACTTGCCTATCAATTAACACAGACATCCTGAGTCAGGGTTTAAATGTCCTGCTAAAATTGCTTGATTCAGTCAGAGTTAAAGCTCTGATTCCATGTACATGGGCTAACTAAAGGGAATAAAACAATATGAATTTACTTATCACCTAGCTTGTTGTCTCTTTAACGACCTTTTCAGGTCGATAAATGTCACTACTGCAAAAACAGAAGGTTTGTTCCTCCCCACAGCTCCAGACACACTATGTCCTGCCATGCCCAAAGGAAAAAAATGATCACAAAATGTCCCTTTAAAATCTCCTTTCAGAGTCATTCTCCACTGGATAAGTGTTTGGTAAAGGAGATAAACAATTCTCATTTTGGAAGTAGGATTAAAAAAAAAGTAGTTAAAAAGTCCGTATCCTCTAACTCAGAGATCTCACTGCTTTGTATATATCCTAAAGATAGAAAGACTTCATATGCAATAAAATATTTAGAGCAGTACTTTTTTGTGGTTGTAAAAAACTGGAACAAAGGTGCTTTTCATTGACTGGGGAATGGCTAAGCAAACTGGTACATCAACATGTTTTAATAGCATTGTGGAATAAGAAATGATGAGTATGAAGAATACGGAAAATATTGTGAGAAATAAAAGACAACAGGCTAATTTCTCAGTCCAGGGGGGAAGTGACAACACAATTCTAGGCACAAAATATATGTTAATATATGTATATAAAAATATATGTTAATATATGTATATAAAATATATGAATAGGGTGTATAAGGAAGATTGTAACCCAGAAGGATTAGGACCAATCCTGATCCAGAAGGGAGGAGTTAGGCAATTACTAACTATAAAGCCTGCTCTTGCTTCTGTACTCAGCATACTCTCCCCTTCAAAGGAGGTATGCCCGCTTCTTTCGAGAATCGAAAGGGCCCAACCTCTTTGATAAAGTCTTTGAGACACCAGTCTTCAGAACTGGGTCTGGGGTCTTCTTTATAACAATATGAACTAAGTGAGATAAGCAGAACCAAGAAAGCAGCACATAAGTTGAACACAACAATGTAAATGGAAATAAAAAAGCCTCAAAACTGAATACTACATGATATTAATGACCAAGAAGACCCAGAAGAAGATGAGAATTTGACTCTCTCCTTTGTGTAGGGACAGAGGAAAAAGGGCAAGAATAGAAGACCAAGAAGTGGAATGCAGCATATTCTGTTGACCTTGATTAATGTGATAGATTAGTTTTGCTGAACTGCTTTTTCTTCTTTTTCACTCTTTGTTACAAGGAAAAGCTGTCCCTTATAAGAAAGTGGGGGAAGGTTATATTGGAAATGAAGGCGAGAAAAAAATAAAATCAAACATTTAGTAAACCCAGCTTTCAGAGAAACAGACTTACCTCTCACTTGTGTAAGATCAATCCCTTTCTCTGCTGCCAATTTCTTTGCAAGAGGACTCACAAATATCCTTCCTTTCGTACTAGCAGGAGTAGCTGGACGGGTGGTTGAAGGTACAGTGGTCGTAGGTGGGGGAGTAGGAGGAACAGCAGCCATCTTACAAAAATAAAAAGTGATAGAGTTAGTGTCCTATTGGTAAGGTCAGTCTCCAAGATCAAGAGCTGATATTTTCTTCTAAATGAGTGGCTATTTTAATTACATCATTTTTGCTTTTCTATGGGAGATAATACATCTGCTTAATATTCACAACATCCTAGTACCCCAAATGGCAAGTATCATGTCAGTTTCTACATTTATATGTACAAGGGGTAAAGATCAAATGTTTCCTAAAATATAATTCTGTGGGTAATTACACACAAGATTATTTTAAAAAATTCTTTTAGGTGATGCAATCAACATTACTTTAGGTTTAAGTACAGGAATAACTCTAGAGTTGCTATTTGTCCTTTGTTCTCAAAGAGCACCAAGCTATGAGAGAAGTTGTGATGGGGTTGGAATCTGAGCCCCAGAAAGGGAAAACTCTGGGGTTGGAATCTGAGTCCCAGAAAGGAAAAACTCTGGCCCAGACCATTTCTCACCCTTGGTAGTTCTAGTACCTCATGGACTCTGTACTTTCCCACATGGCCAAATCTCTGGCGTTCCCCTGAGGCTATGGTCCCATCAACTGGTCTTTCATTGTGACTACACCCAATCTCCCCTCTATTGTCTTGCCTCCCTATGGCCTCAGGCCATTTCCCACCTTTGGTCCCACCTAGGTTCCATTTCCCACCCTTGGGAATTCTATTACCTCACAGACTACTTGGCCACTCTCTCCCGGTCTTTCTGTACATAAGGTCTATCTTGTCTCCATTAAGATGCTCAAATGTTTACAATCTAGCCAATAGCCCATAGATGCTCAGACTCCTTAAGAGTCTAGCTAATATGGCGAATCTTCAATAAACTTTGTTTTTGGCTGCAAGAAGGCTTGGGTCGAATTCTTTCGGGCAGGACCTGGGTATCGTGATTTTGGGGTGCCAGGACCCCTAACGTCTAGACCGCATGAGTTGATATAGGATCTAGACCCCAAAAAAGAAAAACTCTGGACTTTCCCACAAGGCCAATCTCTGGCATTCCCCTGAGGCTATAATCCCATCCCAGGTCTTTCATTGTGGATACACCCAATCTCCCATTTCTGTTACCCCTAACCTAGTCTAGCCCTCTATAGTCTTACCTCCCCCCAGGCCATTTCCCATACTTAATCCTAGCTAGGCTCCATTCTCCCTTGGCTATGTGGTCCAGGTCCCAGGAGTTCTGTTCACCCCAGGTTACTGACCACTCTTACTCAGATGTTCCTTAGACCCCTCTCTTCCAGTCATCCCAAACTGCTTGGCCACTCCTAGATCCCTCCCCACAGTCTTTCAGTATATAAAGTCCATCTTGTCTCCATTAAGGTGCTTAGATTCTTAAAATCTAGACACTGCTCAGATTCTTATACACTAATGTTCAGACTCCTTAAGAATCTGCCCAATATGATGGATATTCTAATAAACCTTGTCTTTGGATGAAAGAAGGCTTGAAGCAAATTCTTTTGGGCAGGACTGGTGTATTGTGATTTTGGGGTCACAGCACCCCTAAACCTCAATAAAGTGATGCCATGACATGCAAGTGAACTGGATTTAAGTGAGAGAGGGCAGTACAAAGTCACCAGCCTGACTTTCTCCTTCGGAGCCATCTGGGTCCAGTGGCCAGATATGGATCAGGACAACTGGAGATGACCTAAGATGCAGTCTTTAAACAGGTCTCAGAGTCTGAGTGAGGCAGGACCCATTCAAAAGGCTTAATAAGAAATGAGGCAAAGAATAGTCTCAAAAAAAAAAAAAAAAAAGATCTGGAAGGGGAAGACTTTCAGGGTTTCTGGCCAAAACAGAAATAATTGTTATTTACTTTCATTCTCAGACAATCAGGGTCCAAACAATGACCAAGTAGGGTTTGGCCTGGGAACTACTGTTGGCCAATCTATGAGAGCCAGAGTTACTTGTTGTTAAGGTTGATAATTAAGAGAAAAAACAAAAACAAAAGTTTCAGAGATTAATATTTACAATTCCCTTTGTGCAGAGCACTGGCAGATAAGGGTGATATCCTATGTGGAGACAAGGAAAGAAATTAAGAAAGAAAGAGTACATAGATACCTCAACTACAATGTTATTATTAGAGTCCATACCATGGAAACATGTCATGGTTGAAATGGTATATTGCAAGCATGAAAAGCTACATGACATTGTGGACAGGACCTTGGACTTGGAATCAGGAAGACCTGAGTTCTGCCTCCATTACTAGCTACGTGACCCTAGCCAAATCACTTAACCTCTCTGGGTCTCGGTTTCTTCATCTATAAAATGAAGGGGTTAGACTTGATGACCTCTAATTTTGTGATATTATGAAGCTCTGAAATGATCTTTTTTTAAAACATCGAAATCTACATTGTATCAGGTATTACAGATACTTAGATTTAGATTTTGGTTTTTTGGTTGGGTTTTTTAAAAGCTATTTTTCTGGACATACCCAACCATGATACAGAAGCACCAGGCACAAGTACAAAGAGAACTGTTAGTGACTGACTATTATAAGTTAAATAGTGGAGAGAGAATGACCTGACTTAATAAAGGCCTAGAACCTACTGAATGTAAAAAAAAAAAATCCCAATAGTAAAGAAACTATTCAAAATATATGAGGAAAAGATGTATTTTCTATAACCAGGTTAAGAGTCTCTGTGTGTTTGGTATTTTCCATAAAGAGACTGTACTAAAACCTAGCTGGTACAAATTAGTACTGATTTCATTATAACACCTTAGCCGAAGCTAGTAGAGTAAAATAAGAACACAGACAGGCTGGCTTAAAGACATATTACACATCTTGTTCCATGTGACTTCAGAAAAAAGAACTATGACCAATGAAAGTTACAAGAAAGCAGATTTTCGCCCAATATGGAAGACTACCAGTTGTCCACAATGGGCTCTTTCATGACACAATGTGCACTTCATCCCTAGAAGTTTTCAACAAGAAACTGGGTACTTCTCAGAGATACTATGGAAGTGATTTATCCATTGCCTGGGAAATTAAGACTGCTGGCCTCTAAAGCCCCTCTAATTCTTTGACTCTATGATTCCAAAAGAGTGGGAAATGAAACCTTACCTTTCAAAAGCATGAGATCCTACATCTAAAGCAGGAAGACAACATGTCACACCAATACTTGGGGCATTTCAGTATGCTTTGGTGTCGCCAGTAGGTTCCAAGAGAGCAGGAAACACAGCTAAGGGTCAAACTATTCACCATTAGGTGAACACCTTCGAGGTATCAAAGACTACTACTCTCTCCCATTCCCTCAATTCCAGAGTCATACCTACCGGGGTTGGGGTGGGTGGTGGTGCCTGGGGTTTTATATCAGTTACTCCAGTTGGTTTATAATCAGCAAATGCAGCAATATCTGCTTCTTTTTCTACAATAATACAGAGAGGTGTTCCTAGGGGGACATCTCTTGTGCCTTCAGGGACAAGTATTTTTGCCAGGTATCCTTCCTCTTGCACTTCAAAACCTTTAATAAAAAGAAAAAAGGTTAATGTGACACAAAAGGTTCCCAATATTCCACATAATTCAAAGCATAGATCTTAAATGAAAAGAATTCCCTTTATATTATCAGAAACTCCTTCTGATAGACTAATCTTAAAGGAAAACATCCAGTGAATCATATATAGTGAATACAATTAAGTTTATGGTTTTGTGAAGATAAGGGATAAGGTGCTTAGTTTCAGCTTGAGAGAAAACTACATATTACTACAGTTCTGAATGGAAGTTACTCCCAAATTGTCCCATGACACAACAAGTGTCAAGGGTGCAAACATACCAGACTATAACATAAGTGCTTAATAAACATTTGAATTCCAATAAATATGCCCAATGGTACTAGCACAGGTCTAGACATTTTCGCTTTGCAGAAATAACACAGGTTACCAAACAACACTGGGGAATCCAAAATGACCAGTTCAGGCAATTCATGTCTCTCTACCAATGCAAGTGTATGATATTTTTGTATGTAGAAACTGGTTTGAATCAAATACAGATACTCATCTTTATAGATTTGAGAAAGTGCATATTTCATTTCCTTCCTAAACCAGAGGTAGGCTATAAGCTTCTACATATCGACTCCAGTAAAACTGTAAAATTCATACCATACTGAATAATGACTAAGAAATCAAATAGAAACTAGAATAAGTGACTTCTTCCACCCCAGAACTGCACAAAAAGTCATCTGGGCCTCCTGCCAGCAAAGCCAGGGACAGTCCAGGGCAGACTCAAAGTGCCACCAAAGACAGAAGTGGTAACTTGTAATGCTCTGTGTTCAGGGGCAGCTGCAGGATGATTAAAAAAAAAAAAAGATTCTCTGAAAATTATAATGGACCAAAGAGGAGTGAATGACTCCATGAGCAAGAAATATTAAAACAAAGTCTAAAGACTGGAAGGAAAAAAAAAACACAAACTACAAAACTTCCAGGTTAAAGAAAAAAAAAATACTGTGAGCAGCCAGAAAAAAAGTTCAAGTGCCAAGGAACCAGTCAGTATTACACAAGATTTAACAGCTACAACCATAAAAAAGCATAGAGCTTGGTACACAACATTCCAAAAGATAAAAGATTTGGCATTACAACCAAGACTAACTCACCCAGCAAAACTAAATATAATACTACTGGGAAAAATAAACCTTTAATGAAATAGAAGATTCTTAAGCACTCCTGATAAAAAGAACTAAACAGAAACTGAAATGCAATCATAGGAGTAAAAAAGATAAACACATGAGTAATAAGAAGAGATTATAGAACAATAAAGTTTTTGCTTTCTAATAGGGGGAGAAGAAACAAGCTTCTCCTCAGAACCCTAACTCGTAAGACAAAGAGCCTTTGTTATGTTTTTATTGTCTTTAATGAAGAGGAATTCAAATACACTAGAAAAGGGCTTGGAAGAAATAAGGAAAACTTACTATCTCACATAAAAGAGGTATACAAGTAGAAAACAAAGAGGAAGGTATGTGTTCTGGTGCATCACTGGAACCTCACTTTGATCTGAGTAAAGGAAAAGAGGGTAGAAAACAAGCAAACACACATAACAGAGTTTGGTATAGGAATACATTCAATTTCAAAGGGAAATAAGAGAGAAAGAAGAGAGGAGCTAAAAGACAGGTTAGACTAAGGTAAGGATTTAGTCATAAGCAAAACAAACTAAACTCAGAAGGTGGATTATGAAGAGGGGCTTAATGGGAAAGAAAGAACCTGGAATTGGGGTCTAATCAAAGAGAAAAGAAAATGGATAAAAGAGTAGCAGGAGACTGAATCAAGTATAGCTGACTAGTGCCAAACACACTCCTCTCCTTTCACTATCCTTTTCTTTTTAAAGAAAAAGAGCACAGAGAAGAAAAAACAGAGGGAAACACACAATTAATAATCAAAACTGTGAATGCAAAGGATGAACTAACTCACCCATAAAACAGAAGAGAATAACAGAATGGATTAGAAAGCAGAACCCAATATATGTTGCTTTATAAGAAACACACTTAAAAAGGATTCATACAGAAAAATAATGGGCTGAAATAAAAATCATGTGTCAAGTGATGTACACAAAAGCAGGCATAGCAACCAAGATCTCAAAGTGTCAGCAAAAATAACTGATTAAAAGAAAAACAAAGAAACTACATTATGCTTAAGGGGCACCATAGATAATGAAATAATAATAACAATACTTAACATGTAGGCACCAAATGGCATAGCATCTAAATACTCAAAAAGAAAAATTAAACAGGGAGAAAGACAATAAAACTATAGTTGTGAGGGGACCTCAATGTACTCCTTTCAGACCTATACCACAACAAAACAAAAACCCAACAAAGAAATTAAGGTTCTGAATAGAATTTTGTAAAAGTTAGAGGTAACAGGTTTCTGGCAAATACTAAGAACAGGAGTCTACAAATTTCTCAGCACAGCATGGTACCTTTACAAAAACTGACCACATAATTACAGCATTTTAAAAAAAAAAACACAAGTGCAGAAAAACAGAAATACTAAACGCATCCTTTACTGACTACAATGCAATGACTCCTACTCAATAAAGTCATCTTAAAGAATCAGTAGATCAAAGAATGAATCACAGAAACAAAAGATAATTTTAAAGATAATAACGAGACAACATACCAAAATTTTTGGGATGGAGCCAAAGCAGTCCTTAGGGGAAAACTTATATCTCTAAGCATTTTCATCAACGAGAGAGAGAGAGAAAAGACCAATGAATTGGGCATGCAACTAAAAACCTAGAAAACCAATAACTAAAAAGAAATCCAAATAAGTACTAAAATAGAAGTCTGAAAATCAAATAAGAGTAACAAAATAAAAGTAAAAAAAATTCCAAAAACTCTATTCAATTAATAAATAAAACTAGGAGCTGGCTTTAAAAAAAACTGGTATTTGATTAAAAAGAAAACCAAATTAATGGCATGAAAAATGAAAATTCACATCAAATAAAACAAAGAAGTTACTAGAAACTATTCTGTCCAACAACATGCCAATAAAACTGACAACTTGAGAATATACAGATATAAAATGCCAAAAATTAACAGAAGAAATTAAATAATGCAACTTCAGAAAAGGAAACTGAACAAGCTGTAAATGAACTCCAAAAGAGATTATTTAGCCTTGTTTCTTATTTATTCCTTTTCTTTCCTCCTTGTTTGTGAGAATACCTCTCTAGAATCTAAAGGGTATCACAATCATTACTTTTTGAAACAAATTCTAGTTCAAATACAATGTCTAAGCTGACATTTCACTGGGTGGATAAGAATCCTATTTGTTACTGACAAATGAGTGTACAGTCACTTTCATTATGAAACTTGTCCTCACAAGACAAACTCTACCAGTTAGAAAATCTTTATGTTATCACACAATCTTTACAGGGTAGGTTAGCAATCTTCTACTCCTACTGTACAGCTATGTGCCTTTGTCAGTTTCTGAGGTAAAAACTCACCTATCGTAGCTTTGTCAGTTTCTATCTCAGCCAGCAAGTCTCCTTCATTCAATTTCTCACCCACCTTCTTCTCCCACCTTTGAACTGTGCCCATAGTCATGGTGGGAGAGAGAGCAGGTAGCAGGATCTACCAAAAAAAAAAAAAGTCACCTGAAAAGATACTGCTTGGACCAAGAGGTAGGTTCAACGAGCATAATAGCAACCCTCAAGAAGTAAAGAACCAGATAGGCACACTCTGTCAAGTACCTGTCAAGAAACCACATTAACTGAAATACCAGTTTTATGGAATAGGAATGACAACAGTAACCCAGTTTCAAATCTTCCTAGCACCCAGGCCATGAAAGCAACTCAGTAATTTCCCAACATTTTGATTGTATTTTACCTGCAAAATCTGTTCTGTACCAGTTCAATTTCCTATGAATCAGGAATCTGAATACTCATGAATACTCTTCTGTCTTCCTCCAAAGTAGCATATAACTAAGAAATCTGTTGATATTTCCCTCTCAAGATATCTCATAACATAGTTAACCACTCCTTGGACAATCAGCATTAATTACACAATAAAAATTTAAGTATAAAGTTTTTCTTTATGCTTTCTTTTCTAGCTATGACAATATATTCTCTTATGATAAACTCAATTTCCATTTTTATGGAATTACCATGGTCCCAACCTAGTCTATGAAAAGGCATTGCTGTATTTTCTAGCTGACAGACAGAAATTTGGGGCCTTGTTTTTTCACTTACAAGAAGCATTCCTGACAATTCCTCAGGGTTATATTTCGAAGATCTCTAAGGGAGAAAGCCACAAAGCATTTTCAATAGGAATTTTTAAACTTTCCAATAGCAGGCTCTTAGTGGCATTTTTTCTAAAAACTATTTAGAAGCTTATCAAAGAGCCACAACAATCCTATAATCACGATCATGATGGTCACTTTTACTCAGATACCTCCAATAGCAAACCTGGTGACTCAGACCAAAAGCAATCTTCCTTCTAAAGTTTGCCACCATTATTTGATTCCTAAGTTAAGATTAATGGAATAATTTTTAAAAATCTGTGAATTATCTAAGATAATTAAGCAGAGTCTGAGCATGGCACATAAAGGAGAAAATAACAAACGAGAAGGGGCACAATTAAACCTTACTCAAGGGAACAAAACAATGGTACACAGAGTGAAGAAATACAAGCTTAAACTGAATATACCAGCTTCTCATTGGTAACAGCATGGGAACTGTAAGAGTATGACACTACATCACGACCACCTCCATCACCTCCCCCCCCCCAAAAATAGTTCCTCTTTGGAAATCTCTACAAAGTGGCAAATGATAGAGCCATATAAATAATATTCTGGTTTGAACCAACTTTCAGAGGAAGATACTGTTGGATATTTTCCATCTTTTATCTCTAAAATGAATGTATCTATCATGAATAGTACTAGATCTGTTTCTGGGGGCAGCTAGGTGAGTTCAAATCCGGCCTCAGACCAAACACTTGACACTTACTAGCTGTGTGACCCTGGGCAAGTCACTTAACCCCAACTGCCTAAAAATTAAAAAAAAAAAAAACACAAAATACAAAATACAATAGTACTAGATCTGTTTCAAACAACTCTGACCTAATTTTTTTCTTACTAATTGCAGATTATTGTCATAAAATATTTATAGTAAGAGGACCCTATTTAATGTCTTATGTTATATATTTCTAAACATATAAGATGCTTATTTACACATATAAAAAACCCTTTACTTGCTGTCAGTTTCCTAACCTAATAAACTCTGCTGCTTTGTGAAGCAGAAAGTCATATATAGTAAATGAAAAATAGGAACCATTCTGTCTAAATTTAGAGAATATAACTAATCATAAAGAAAAGGAATTTGACAAATGTATCTCTAAATTTAAATTATAACAGGTTTACAAAGAAAATATCTATAAATATTGATTATGGGATTAATTGACTACACTTGGAATGTCCCTGCTACAGAAAGAAGGAAGTTTGAAACTCCTAGATCTACAAGTGGAGACATCCAGGCTCAGAAAGGTCAAAGGAGCTGTCCAAGGTCACATGTGAGAATAAAATTCATTTCCTACACTAAATTCTTACTAAATGTAAGGAACTGTGATAAGCACTAGCAATACAACATGTACACAAATAGGTAAAAAGAAAGGAATGAGCAGTAAGAACTAATAGAATCAATGAAAGTTTCACAGAAGAGCTTATCATCTAAAGGTATATATATATAAGTATTTTGAAAGGCAGAGGTTACATTGAAATGAACCCTACAGGTATGGGAACAGCCTGAGTTTTCATGCTTGTTATTTACTCCTAAATGGCAATTGTTTCATCTTTGTAGAAAGACATAACTATAATGTATTTCAGTTTCTAAGCTTCCCCAAGATAATAACACACACACACAAACATAAAGGAATAAATAATTAACTAAAAGGGTAAATTCTTGAGAAAGTTCAATAGTTAAGCTTTACCTGCATATGAGCAGGATATGAGCTCCCTGGAGCCTGGGCAGAGGGTGATGAAGCCACAGAAGCAGGGGGAGGTGCTGTGGAAGCCTGTGGGGGGGCTGCTGTTGTGGAATCCAGTGTATAATTTTTAAATGCATCCACATCCTCTGCCCTAAGGTATGAGGAAAACACATTGCGACATTTTAGTTATCATTGTGAGTCATGGAGGGAAAGGTAACTTCAGACTATCCCTCAATTCTAGGTTCAAACACATCCATATCCCAACTGTTGCACACAGTAATTTTCAAACAGATGAAATCAACAGAGTACTTACTTTTCAACAGTGATACAGATGACTGCTCCAACTGGAACATCTCTAGTACCTTCTGGAACAATTATCTTAGCCAGGTAGCACTCTTCTAAGCTCTCAAATCCAACAGTGGCTTTGTCTGTTTCCACCTTTAAACAGAAGACATGGAATGTTTAAATACTTACAGCCAGACTGACATTTGTTAACTTAATCTGGTATTGAAACATTCACAAGTTAAGTGAAAATAAAGCTCCCATCTTCGTAAAGAGATCACAGAAGTTATTAAAGGCTTTCTCAGATAAAAATCAGCTTGGCAATTGATGGCATTGACAAAGTTATCAAAGATATCCTGCACAGCTGCAGCATACTTCAGATTACCACCCAGAGAATTAAAAGTTAGTTATGAAGCACCTCAATCAGAAATGTTTGAAGTTTAGCACCCCTCCAAACTACTTACTTCTGCTATAAGATCACCCTCATTGATCTTTTCACCTTCCTTCTTCTCCCAGCGGGCAATGGTGCCTGCCTGCATTGTGGGGGAAAGAGAAGGCAAAGGAACCTGAAAAGAAAAGAGAGGAGACACCTGCAATCAAAAAACAGTAAGCATTGCTTCTTACCTCTTTATAGCTCCCTCACTAGCTTTGGGGCCCTATTAAGGTACCCGGTGAGATGCTACAGCTCCTTGCCTCAGTGTCTCACTGGGCTGTGGATCTGGCAAGAAGAATGCTACCTTTCAGTTGACATTTCCAATCTGTCACACGCAGTCCCAGAAGCGCCAGAAGTCCCCTCCCGGCCTCCAGCTGCGGGGGTGGGGTGGGGCAGAATGGGGAGGAACTCGCTCCGGGGAGGTGGTCTCATCCGGGTCAGACCTTCCCACTGGCCGGCCTAGAGCCGGGAGGCCCTTGGCCCCCGGGTCAAGAATCAAGGACTGGGCCCGGGTGGGCTTTCCGGGTGAGGCGGGCGGGGCGGCCTCACCTTCTGGTGGGGGGGGAGGCTGTACCAGCGCCGGCCCGGCATCCCCAAGAGCTGCAGCAGCAGAAGACGAGCCCGCGGCACGGCCCCCGAGCCGGAGCCAGGACCCCAGCCCTGCAGCGCCCCAGCCCTGCTGTGGGAAAAGCGGGAGAGACTTGGGGTCGCGGCCGGGACCGGGGCCGGCCCTCCAGGGGCCTCCCTAGGGGCCGCGGCCGCGGCCGGGCTCCCAAACCTCGTCCGTGGGGCCGCGCACCGGGCCCGCCGCGCGCACACTCGCCACATTGTGCCGCCGAGAGCTTGCGCCCGGGACCGGGAGCCGCCACAGCCGCCACAGCCGCCACCGCTGTAGCCGCCGTCTCCTATATGACCTCCGGGACCACCGTGCGGCACTGCCGTCAACCGCGCTGCGCCGAACCGTCGCACGGTGTCGTAAATGAGCGAGGGAATCCCGCCCCACCTGGGACTCCCTTCCAAGTCGCCCCGCCTAGTTCTTCCTGAGGCGGTTTGAGGGGGGACGAGCAGGAGGCGGGGCATCGGAGCGCGCGAGGGAGAAGCGAACAATGGAGAGGCCCCAAGGCTGGGACGGAGAGGCGGGGCTGGGCCGCGAAAGAGCCGAGATGGGGAAAGAGGGAAAATGGGGCGGGGGAGGAGCGGGGGAAGGAAGAAGAAGGGCGCCGCTTCCTCTCCTACCCAACTCACTTTCCTCAGTTGGCCTTGAGGTGCAATTTGGATTTGTATCTGGAAGGGATTCTTAGAGATTATCTGCTTCAGCCCTTCACTTTTCAGAAAAGGAAACTGAGGCACAGTGACTTAAGTGCTCAAGGCCATACTGGGCATTAAAAGAAAAGTTAAGACTACAGTTTTTGAGCAGGAAAGAGCCTTATTTAGGATCTTAGGATCACAGGTTTAGAAGTGGAAAAAATCCTTAAGGTTGTCTTGTCCATTTTATAGATGAGGAAACTGAGGCCAAGAAAGTCTAAATGACTTGTTACTCAAGGTACACATGGAATAAAAAGCAGAATCAGGATTTTAATTCAATACTTTACACAGGGGCAGCTAGGAGCCACAGTGGATAGAGTCAGGAAAATCTGAGTACAAATCCAGCCTCAGACACTTAGTAGCTGTGTGTGTGGGCAAGACACTTAGTACTGTTTGCCTCAGTTTCCTCATTTGTAAAATGAGCTGGAGAAGGAAATGGCTCAGCACTTCCGTATCTTTGCCAAGAAAACCTCAGAGGGGTCGAAAAGAGTTGGACTGGACTAAGCAACAACAAATTCTACACTGAACTTCAGCCTTTTATAGCTGAACCAACTGAAAGAGATAATAAAAGGACTTGCCAAAATTGTTGATGGAATAGTAAAATACAGGTCCCTTGGCTCAAAATGCAGTGTCCTTTCCACAATATCACACTGCCTCTTGTTCAAATACAAAAGTTTCAGTTAAGGATCCCCACCATCCAACAGGTGGGGCTCCCAACCTCAGGGTTTCTGGCATGAGATTTGCGGCTGGGAGAAGTGGAGAGAGAATGTGGATCCTCTTGCTAAAATTCCTCAGTACAAGGTGAACCATTACGTTAAATCAGTAACACTACCTGCCTGCTTAAGGTTACTATTGTGTAACCAAAGGATTTCTACCCTTGTGTAACTGATTCCATTCAGATGTTATGCTAGGAGGTTTGATTCAGTAATTATCATAGGAAAAAGTCTTAAGATAGAGAGACTGTAGAAACGTTAGAGATGATCATTTTACAGATATAAAGGAGGTGTTAAAAAAGTTTTCCTACCTCCCAAATGTAACTAAAACTTCCTTAATCAACAAGAGGATTATAGGTTGAATCAGTAATGCCTTTCGGGCCCATATGTAAATCATCTGGCTGTTCCAGAGTGGCAGGTAATTAAGTCTGTGGAGCTAGCTGTGCTGTGAGATCCCCTGTACAAGGATTAAAAAGAAGTGTTTTTCTTCCTCCCATAATCAGGAATGGTATCTAGTGAAAAAAAGATTGGAATCGTAGTATTGTTTCTCTTGAAGCTGAGGCAGAAGAGCCTGGATCTCTCTTCTCTCCAGCTCTCACCAACTTGACCTATCCCTCCATGAGCAGGGTATTGAGTAATCTCTACCAATAGGAAGAGAATCCCATAAAGTTGGCTTTTTGAGCCAAAGGTTGCACAAGCCATAGATTTACTCTCCCTGAAGAAGGCACCCCATCCAGAAAGTGGAGTTAGTTGAGCAAGTTTGAGGCCCAGCTGAGGAAGCAGAGACACACTTTTCACAGACAGATGCTTAGACATGGCCCCTAAGGGAGGAAACAACTTCTGGAACTTAACCCTGGGAACAGAGGAGTTTGCTATGGACTGAAGAGAGAGCTAGCACTTGATATCAAGAGTTGGGCTGGGGTAACTAGGTGGTGCGGTGGATAGAGCACCAGCTTTGGAATCAGGAGGACCTGAGTTCAAATGCAGTCTCAGACACTACTAGCTGAGTGGCCCTGGGCAAGTCACTTAACTCTAATTGCCTCACCAAAAATAAAAAAAAAAAGATATATTAATAAAAATTTTTCTTTAAAAAAGAGTTGGGCCACATTAAGGATGTATGAGTGATGAGGATGGGATCTAGACCCCCAAAAAGGAAAAACCCTGGACTTTCCCACATGGCCAAATCTCTGGGAGTTAGTCTGATCAACTGGCCTTTCACTGTGGCTATATCCAATCTCTCTCTGTATCTCTGTTACCTTTAACCTATCCTGGCCCTCCATGGTCTTACTTCCCTATGGTCCCCAGCCACTTCTCACCCTTAATCCTAGCTAGGCTCAATTCCATTACCTCACTGTCCCCTGCAAACTACTTGGCCACTCCTAGATCCCTCCCATAGTCTTTCTGTATATAAGGTCCATCTTGTCTCCATTAAGATACTTAGACTCTTAAAATCTAGCCAGTACTCAGATCCTTATAATCTAGCTAATAGCTCACTAATGTTCAGACTCTTTAAGAGTCTGCCCAATATGATGGATATTCTAATAAACCTTGTCTTTGGCTGAAAGAAGTCTTGGATTGAATTCTTTCGGGCAGGACCCGCGTGTCATGATTTTGAGGTCCCAGCACCCTTTACCCCCTAAACCTCAACATGAGGAGACAAAGAACTTCCCAGCCCTATAGTACTAGTGGACTCAAGTTCAAATCCATTTAGGGTTTTATCAGGTTGAATAAAATCAGTCCTGTATCTGATGTTTTGTTAGCCTGAATGCTGGCAGGTAAGCTGTGCCCTTAGAGAGATACCAGTTATTATTGTTATGGAGAAGTGCTTAAGATAGACCCTAATGCATGTGTACCCAGAGTTACAGATATTATTTAATCATATTAATTATATAAGCAGTGGGTTATATAATTACATTTAGTTTGGAAAGTTGCTGAACAAAAAGAGGCCCTGAATTAGACATATGTGGCCTTGGGCAAGTCAGTTAACTTCTCTCTGCTTCAGTTTCTTCATCTACAAAAAAGGATGTGTGAAAGTTTTCCTACAACCTTAGAATTGGAGAAGTTCTTTAATCAATTTCAAAGAATTACACAGGCTTGGCCATTAGAGAAAAGCTCACAAGTCCCCACAGAGGTGTCTACTTTTTCTCCTCAGCCAGTAAGTCCAACAGCCCTCTTTTCTGGTAGGTCCCACTTTTCCCTGGACCTATGAAATCCACCTGACTCATAACAGTAAATGGATAAATCTAAGTTGCTCTTGTACATCTCAGATCTCTGCAGTATGGATCCTTCCCCCCTTTCATGTCTTTCTCTCTGTGTCTGTCTCTCTCTCTCTGGTAATGACTCCTTCTTTCCTTCCACATCTCCATCTGGCAACAGCTCTCAACTTCCTTCCACTTCTTCAGGAGGTTCTGCTGTGCTGTCCCTGAAGGGAACATTTCTTCTTTCTGCTCCTTCAGGGTAACCATCTGGAACCAATTTTTTAGTGTATATGGTCCCTTGGAGGGGCTATGTGGATGCAGAGGCCTTTCTCCGGGGGACTAAGTCTATCTTTTATCTGATTTCTTTCTGAATTTCTATTGGACAATGATCTCTAGGTCTGACTACTTTAAAAATTTCAATATAAGGGGGATGCCCCAGTGAGACTTCAGCAAAAGGTGAAGATCTAAGGAGGCTAAAAGACAGAAACAGTTACCCATCCTAGAAAGAGTGGGAGGCTTAAATACCTTAATTACATAAGAAGAGTATACTAAGACCATGAATGATACTTCCTGGGCATAGACTGAATTCATACCTTTTGTCCCTAGCCACTGGTCTATATAAGATTCCCAAAGGACAAAGAGAGGTTAAAAAAAAAAAAAGACTGGACTGAAACCAATCACCCTAAGGTCACATGGAGTAGCTTACAGAAAATAAGAGAGTATTTTTCAATAGGCCAGCCAAGCCTTCTCCCATCTCCTGGAGGTGACAAATAACCTCAGACCTGATGCTCTGAGGGAGTCAAAGAAGCTTTTGTGGATCCTAAGGTAAGGGTTGTTACATTGGCTAAAAAGGGTTCTAAAGTACTCTAGCTGAAAGGAGCATGATACTCTTCCAGCTGAAGACCATAGTGCTTCCCATCCAGTGAACAGAAGTGTGAAAAAAGACTACCCATTCAAGAGCAGACCCAAAAGTTAACTTTGTGATGACCCTCTGAAGAAAGAACAATGAGGCCCAGAAGATCTTGAATAGCAAATTGCCTTGGCCATGTGGGTTCCCTAGTACTTGTGCTTCACTGCCACTATATTTTAAGTTCATGTCCACTCTACCACCTTCTTGGATTCTGGGTGTTTTTGTGGGAGAGTATATCCCTTGTATTGGGAAAAAAAAAAGTTTTGTAACTACTTACTGTTTTTTGCTATGCCATTTGAGTAAATGCCCTCGCTAAAGAACTATGAATCTACTAGCTGATTGTAAGGGGAAGCATACCAGTGGGGGCTTATGAGTTGGCATTTAGAATGATAATTACACACGGGATTGACCCTAGAACCGTGGGAGAAATAGCCACTTCTGAGGGACCCAACCTGCCAGTGAGCCCCAGGAAAGTTCAGACATCTATCTGGCATTCAAGACCCTTCATAATTTAGCTTTTTCCAGCTTTATCTCATATTAATCATTTCCATGCACAGAATCGGGTATGAGCAGGATTTTAGAGACCATCTAATCCAACCCATACTTGACCAAGAATACCAGACAAGTGGTCATGTAGCTTTTGCTAGAAGACTTCAAGAGAAGGGGAACTCATTTCCCCCTAAGGCAACCATTCTACTTTTGGAAGTTTCCCCTTCTCTTAAGCCAAAATTTGCCCCCAAACTTATACCCATTGCTCCTAATTCTGCCCTCTGAGGCCAAGCAAAAACAAGTATAATTCCTCTTCCAGAAGACAGCTTCAAGTACTCAAAGACAGCTCTCATGTCCCTCCTCTACATTCCAACCAAATTAAAAAACTTTCTGTCCCCTGAACATGCACTGTTCTCATGTCTCCATGCTTTTGATCCGTCTATTCCCTACACAGGGGTGGAATAGGATGTTCTCCCTCCTCTCTTTATCTATTGAATTCCTATCCAACACAAAATATCAGTTATAAAGTATCTCAAAGGTTATCTTTATCACCTGTACCTGAATTTGAAGTTACATGGAACTTTTAGGGTTATAAAGCACCGTCCTCCCTCATAGTAGTTAAATGTCTGGTGTAGGATTCAAACCCAGGTCTCCTGACCCCAAGTTTAGCATTCATTTGATTATGCTCTACACTCTTAAGTTAAACTCTTAAGCCCACTGGGGGCTGGGACTCTTGTGTTATTATGTAAACTATTTTCTCTAAGACCTGGCACAGTGGTCAGCAGACAGTAAATGTGTTAATGGTGGTGCATTCATGTGGGGAATTTACATTTATAACTAATGCCCCATTACTATGTAGTGGAAGTTCTATAGTTCCTTTGTTTTAGAAGAACTGAGAACATACTTCAAAAGTTCACTTGAGTGTTTTCATTATCTCATTGATATATTTTCTCCTATGATGATGATCAAGATCTGTCCATATTTTCTGTCATATTGTGGTTCATATACTCCCCTAAATCCTCCACAAATATTAGAGGTCCCTCTAAAGGTCTCCTACCCCATGTATAAGAGGTCTTCCTCTAGATCTTTTACCTTTACATGGATACATGGATCACTTGAGTTGTCCACCTGTTATACCTTACTGTCAAGTACATGATGGGCCCCACATCCTTTGTTGATCATACAGCTCCGGGATGATATCTTTTGTATGTCAATTCCTGTGTGAAATCATTGTTGGACAGATGCTATAGCCTATTTATAACCACCATACAGGGCTCCATTGTCCTTTAGTAAGAATTTAAACCACAACTGCCATATTAAATCACAAGTGGCAACAGGTTTGTTAAAAGTTCATCACTCTGGTGAATGGAAGTAAAAATGGTCCTTAGGAAACTTTTGAAATTCTACATAATGCAGTTATAACTTTGCAAATCTCAGGAAAATTAATTATGCTAATCCTTTAAATGTTAGTGTAGTCATATGTAAAATAGTATATATTTTTCCTTTGGGGGTTTATGCCATAATTATGAGGGCTCACTTATTAATCAAATAAAGCAATATAGAAAATACAAGTAGATTAAAAAATTATTATACCAACTGTCAAATTTGACCAAACTGATTTTCTATTAAAAAACGAAAGCAATTCATTAAAACTGAACATGTAGATTAAACTTGCTTACTATTTTAGGGGACAATATGGCAATTTTGTGGTTTATCTCAAATAGAGTTTTTGAATTTTTCTTATAATTTATTTTGTACAGTTTGGGATTCTGTTTTATAATACAATTTTGACTTCCAGATTATCTGAGGTTCACATTTGTTTATGAATATTAAGAGATATACTGAGCATCTGAGTCCTAAATGATGATAATAAAACTGAAATCTGTGGGTTTTTTTTTATAATCTAGTGGAAAAGGGACATCAGTTTCAATAAAATATCCTTGGAACTTCTTTCTCCCTCTTCAGCAAAAAGCAAACAGATGACAGAGGGAAGAAATGAACATTTATGAAACTTAAATTTTTATTAATTTCACTTGACAAACTAGAGGCAGGTTTAATGGGGTTAGTTTGCAAATTCCACTTTATTTTATAGTTTGTTTCTTTTTCCAATGAGCACACAAACCTCTAGTACATACAGGCAGGTAAGACTGGTTATCAATTCACTAACAGACAAATTAGAAGCCTCTAGAATTAACATAGGGAAAGTCTTGCTGAGAGTGCTAGAAAATAGGAAGTATGTGCAATAATTCTTTTGAAACCAATGGTTGCAAATATCCATGTTTCTAAGAAAATATAACTTTATGTAGCTGTGTCTTAAGCATGCGACACCTATATTAGACAAACTCAGACAATAAGGTAGGATGACTGTGCAAAAATAATGAGCATTTTATGGGGAAAATGAAAAAAAATTTTTAACCAACTTAAGTGCTTATTTTGAGAGATTAGATTTCTCCTGGATTTTATAGATACATGGAGGTAATTTTCCCTGCTATAATCCATCCTGAGGGGAGAGATCTAAAGAGTTGGAAAATAAAATGTAGGGTTGTCATGCAAAAAGATACTGAACCCAAGCTGTTTATGCACTAACTATAGAGCGTTCCAGTTCCAGCTAATTTAGGGAACAGAACAAGGAAAGGGTAGCCTTTGGTTTCAAGATGATGACTTTTTAAGGGCTTGAACTCCTGCCTAAATTAGTCAATATCCAGAAGGCATTGAATTTTTTAAAAATTGTTTAAATTTCAAGTAGTATTTCTTCTGCTGAGAGTCTGATCACTTATCGGTGTTCTAGGAGTATTGTTTTCTTTTTCAAGCTTAAATGAGGCAACAACAGCATAGACTTCCCCTAGTATATCCCACCAATGATTCATCACAATACCTTGAGCAAGGTGTCATTACAGGGGAGTCCTGGAGTATCTTCACAATGCTCTGTAACAAGACTGTTAAAAAACAGAAGCAGTCAACGACTCTTCCCTGAGTCCTACTATCCCTTTCAGCATCATTTTTTGCACCCATGTTACTGAATAGTAATCAGAGAGTTGTGATGTATGGTGACTACCCGTGCTGCATAGAATCAATCAAATAAAAGTGAACTTGTTTAATTTTTATTCCCCTCCAAGAAACTTCATTTTTTCACTTGGGCTCAATGCCATGTAGCTCTTTCCCAAAAGGGGAGGAGAATCGAGGCTAGAGAAGGTAGAGAACCTTGACAAGGATTTAGTCAGCTTTCTCTGAAAATGAAGACATCCTACCTAACAGCATGATTACTGACTGAAGTAAAACGAATAAGTTAAAACTTGTAATTATGAGACATTCAAAATAGGTCACAAATGAAATATACAAAGAATTTTGGCCTGATAACCATACTGTCATAGCAAAATACTAAAACTCATGCAACAGAGAAATTGGTGATAAACCTTTTTTTCCCCCAGATTTCCTGGAAAAAGATGGAGAATACACTATTTTCTTCTCCTTGCTTTCAGCAGTGAAATTTCTCTTCTTCTGTATTGACTTTCCCAATTACTATTTGCTTGACAATCATTTCCAATGAGAAAACATATTCTCCAATTGTGAGAAAAGCAGAGGTACATGTACAATGAAGGGCATAAAATATCTTCTCAATTCCACCTGCTAAAGGAGGAATCAAATAGCCTACACAAAACTACCTCCAATGCTAAAAATGACAGGCAGTGTGAAATGAACTGGAAATTAAGTTGTCACTGGTACACTCGTAATAAAATAAAGCTTGGTTTTTGTTGTATTTTTTTAACCACAAGGGTGATAAGAAGAGCCTGTATAAAAGCTAGCTATCTGGGTTCTCTAGAAAACGAATACCATACAGAATGTGAGACAATACAGAGGGTGCTCACATTCATATTATAAAAATAGACATGGTTCTCAATGAACAGCAAATGGGTACAAAAGAATTCTTCAAACATGAACCATTTTAAAAAGCGCATATCTATATATAAAAACAACAAGATGTGATCTCAGAGCTGCAAAGGACAGTCTTCTGAAATGATTTGGGAATGGAACATGAGAGATGAACTGGAGACAGATGGGTCAAGAACCTAGAGCTGATCTGTCGGACTCTTCTGTTTTGGCAGTGTACGTTGGCAGTTATAGTCAGCCAGCTTTTGATAAGCATGGCTAGTTGGTTGGAGGTGGCACTTAGCTGGTGGGTGAGAAAACTCAGCTTCCCATGTGGTATGTGCGAATTTGTCCCCCCAGGCCCCCTGGACTCTCTCCCCCTTCCCCCAAGAGAAAAACCTTTTCCTGTCTACTCAAGTCCAACACAGTAGAAAGGATCTGAGTGGTTCTCCCAGCCATTCAGAACAAGTCACATGGTTTTCACCACACCCTAAGTGTCAGCCAATGATAAATAATACATCATTAAAATAAGGTCTGGCCTTGCTAAGAAAATACCTTGGGGCATACCAACTCTACCAGCTCCACAGAGAAATACTGGGCCAGCAAGACTGTCCCCTGAATGCTGGAAAAGAGACTGATGGCTGAGTAAAGTCAAGGAAAATCATAGGAAAAAGAAAGTCAAGAAGATATAGGTAGCAGCACCTTTCCATACCCGCCTGAATGTTTAAGGAGACTTTTACCCCTTATTCCTTTCGAATACAAAGTTCATCAGCTGGAAGAAGTAAACAGTTTCTAAATTAAACAGTCCCCCAAGGAAACTAGCAACACATAAAACAAAATAGCCCAGGAAGCAGTTTGAAGGGCAAGCTGTAGAACCAATTCTGGTAAGTTGGTCCAAGTTCCTGATGCTGATTTGAGACACCATACAGCAGAGGAGGGGCAGCTCTCTCACTGTCTGATGAAGAACTAAACATCATCCACAGTCAGTCCAAAAGAATTTTTGAAGGAGGAACCTTCTTCTTTGGTACCACCTCAGGTGTACTCTTGGTTCACAAAAGTTGCAGGGGAGCTGAAAAATTAGTAGATTGCCTTGCCCTTGAGTGCAAATTCTGGGACTATAATTGCTATAACCATTGAGGCCAATTAAAATAATACTGTAACATGCAGGAGTGAAGCATCTGATTCCCAGATTTAGAACAGTAGCAGCCATGCCCCTCACTGGAAGGGATCATCCATCCACATTAGTTAAGGCCTTCGGTTTGTTGTTGTCATCAGGATAAAACAAAACAATGTATTCCCAACATCTGGGAGTCACCACTCCAAATTAACCCATGGTTCACATCTAGACATGGAATGTTGAGAACCAGGCAGGCCGGACCATACACACAGGACTGGCCTCTGGTCATCTCACTTGGAAAGGCTTCTCTTTTGGCAGCATGACTAGAAACCTCTCAGTATTTTCTGGGTTAAGTCCTCATTCCTGAGTGAAGTAGCCAGAGAGTGACCAGGTTCCATAAGCCCCAAGTCTGGGAGTCAATGTCAGTTCTCTCCATGATCTTCTTCAACCCAGGCCACAATTTTCCCTTCCCATCCAGGAATAACGTCATCATCATGAAAGACCTAGAGAAGGGAAGTGAAAAATAATGAGAAAGGCTGGGGGTCCTATCAAGATGAATTTGTCCATATGAGAGAGAACATGGAAGAAAACTTTTGAGTTAAAAGTCTCATAGCACTCAAGTTTTATATTCTTACACTGACTTGCTGTATAGCTTTGTGTTTAAAAAAAAACCAAACAAACACAGCTTTTTTCCTTTTTTTTTTGAAGGCAATATGGGGAATTCAGTTTTTTATTTAGAGGATGCTGCAGGACAGGAAATTACACATAGAAATAAAAACCCTGTTGAGGATAGAGGTTTCATATAGAATGTACACAGTTCAGATTGTTCAAGTGTGCTTTAGTGCTACCTTAAAAGTCACATTTAAAAAAAGATCTTAGTGGAAAAACACTAAGACAAAATTATACCAAGAGCACAGCAAATAAGACTTGATGGTTTGACTGTTAAATCTAAAAGTTAAAGGTCTCAGGTGTGCCATCTTGAATCTGGAAGGTAGAGCTATCAAAGGTAGATTCTGGTATAATGTTTCTACCTTCCTCTTCTGAGAAATACTTTTCAATTAAGCCTGAGGAAGCTTTATATACCAACTCATTTTCATGGGACCAGAATGCTTCAATTCTAGTTAGTCCTCCACATTCTTCAATTGCAATACACAACTTTTCAGTTTCACTTAGTTTTTCATCTTCTGACAAAATAATGCCTGCCCTTTCCTCACTCACAGGAGACTACAAGGATTAATAAATTATTGTTCAGAAGGTACAGCCACTAAAAGCATAAAGTAAAAGAGGGAGGTAAAGATTAAAGGTCTGGTTCTGTGATGAAATAAGGAAAAAAGGCCAATCTTAACAAGGTTCTTGGAACTAGCCTTTTTTGTTTCATCACAAACTCTGTTAAGAGGAGAGAGGGAAAAAAAGTAAATTCAGAACCACTGTGGTGGAAAATCTTTGCCTTTGGAAACTATGGTTTTCGATTTTTTTTTCAGCCTGAAACCCAGCTGAGGATTCCTGCAATGCACCCATGACCTAGAATTTGCTTCCAGAAAAGCAAAAGTACTGCAGTTTCATCTTTGCAGGTTGAAGAGAGAAAATACCGTTCTAAAAGGGATGACAAACTGTGGTGCTGCTCAAGGACCTGGACGAAGAACTATTCTCTCTCATCTCCCTTAAATGTTCTTCAGGTACACTATTTGAGAAATACTACACCATTCATATAAGATACTCATTACTCCCAAAGCATGAGGTTCAGGCTCAACACCAAATCTGTTTGCTTATTTTGAAAACTGGATGATATATATGGCTTTTATTTTGGCTTGGCTGGTTACATACATAGGAGCCTAACATACAGGCTTAGCTAAGCTAATTACTAAGTCAATATGATTAAGTTTCCTACACTAGAGAAAGCTAGCAATTCCCTGACCTATCCCATAGCCCTCTGGTTCTGGGGATACCAAATCATGGTCCAAGTAGGCTCTGAATAATCTCTTTGATCAGAATCTGAGCTTTGGACAAATCAAACTTCAGTGAACTCAAGTACTAGTTCTGAAGGACAAAAGGGGCTGGATAAAGGCCTCATCTCTTGATTATGGGTGACATTATATAAAAGCTTCTGTACCTCTTCTTTGACAGTGCCAAATTCGGGATCCAGGGCTTTGAAGTGGTATCGGTGATTCCCTTCCCGGTCAATAGCTGCTTTAAAATCCTTCAGAGTCACCTCTCCCAACCTGCAACACAGGAGTTAAAAAAAAACAACATTAAAATAACCCGTTACTCAATGGAGCGGAAAGGAGGATGTCAACTTTAAACAAAAGCTGCTGCCAAAGTCAGCAGGCAACAGTAGCATGGCCTTAATGGCTTACTGGCCCTGATAACCCAGACATTAGAAAACAGTAGACATTGGGAAACCAGTTGACTGAAGAGAATGAGATCCATACTACACATGATGTAAGCTCAGAATTGTAAATGGGCTTGTTTGCCTCATTGGCAGAGTCAAAGGAATGTCCAGTGTTCTCCTCTGGGAATGATACTCAGGGCCTCTAGAATTTAACTCAGTGAGTGACCTCAGGAAGTAAGCACAAAATGGCCTTCTCTGCCAACAGAATCCTGATTTCCTGGGCTGGTAGCAAGCACCCTTTGGCAACCAACCTCTCTATCCTCATATCTCAAGGAAGATTTGATGCTAGCACAGCTCAGAAAGAATTTTCTGGAGAAAAACAAATTCTACAGCTTTCCTTGGGAGATGGTATAAGTTTTTTGTTTTGTTTTCTAACAATCTGTATTTACTCTTGTAGAGACAGTGTGTCATAGTGCATAGATTGCTGGGCTTATTAATCAGGACATTTTGGGTTCAGTCCCAACTCTGACACTTGGCAGGTCACTTAAGCTCTGTGTGCTTCAAAGACTTATCTCCTAAGTTAGGAACAAGTTGTGATCTGCACCAATGGAAGAGTGTTTTTCCATGCTGATAAAACTACTTGCCTAAAGAGAAATGAATTAACTGGGATGCTTGGAAGGTTCAGAAACAAATGCTTATGTCTGACTAGTAGCAGCTACTAGAACAAAGGCAAAGAAAACTAAGCAATCCCTTGCAGCTCCAGTCTGCAATCTGCACTTGAGCACTGGGGCTACATTAAGCCCATTTAGAACCTGCTCTTCCAATCTTAGAGCATGTTTGTAGAGTTGTCAGGGTTGGCAGTGTCACAGTACAAGAGAAGCACCTATTCGAGGCCAGCAGTGACAAAATAGAGGCCAGGAAGCAGGTCCTGTGGTTTCTGTGCACCCTGTTACAGATATTACATGTATGAACTCTCACCTGGCAATCAGTTAGTCAGTTAACAAGCATTTATTTAGTGTCAACTGTGCACCAGGCACTGTGCTTCTCCCTGGAAATACAAATAAAGGCAAAAAAAACCCCAAAAAACCCAAACCCAGTCCCTGCTCTCAAGCAACTCACAGTCTAATGGGGGAAACAACAGGTAAACAACTATGTATAGACAAGCTATGGACAGGATAGACTGGAGATAATCAACAGAGGGAAGGCACAGGCATTAGGGTGGATCAGGAAATTCTTCTCATAGAAGGAGGGATTTTCACTGAGACTTGAAGGAGGTCAGGAGGAGAAGATGAGGAGTGAGAGAATTCCAGGCAATGACACTGAGCTTCTTGTTCTACAGGCATTTTCACTGTGAAAATGCCTGTAGAACAAGAAGCTCAGTGTCATTGTATTTTAGGGTATGCTGTGGTGGTGGTGGTGAGGGGTGCAAGGTGGAATAAGGCATAAGAAGGCTTGAAAAGCAGGAAGGGGTCAGGCTATGAAGGGCTTTGTACACCAAGCAGAGAATTTTATATTTGATCCTGAAGGTGATAGGGAGCCAGTGGAATTTGTTGAATGGCAGTGGGGTGGAGGCAGGTCAAGGCATTCAGACCTGTGCTTTAAGAAGATCACTTTGATAGCTGAGCATAGGATGGATTGGAGTAGGGAGAGATTCCGGGCAGGGAGACCAACCAGCGAGTTATTATTAAATAGTCCAGGCATGAGGTGATGAGGACCTGCACCAGGTGATGGCAGTGTTGAGGAGAGAAGCAGGTAAGGTTAGTTCTCTGTCAGATACTCACCTTGTTGACAAACCCCCCCTTACAAAATGTTTCAACACTATCTAGTTACCAACCCCATCCCCAACTCAGGTCAATCCTTCAGAGAGTGGTACTTAACCTATTCCTGAAAGAATCATACAGCAGGAAGGCCTCTTAGCAGCCATCTAATACAAACTCATTTTATAGATGAAGAAATCAAGTTCCAGTGAGAGTAACTACCCAGCTAGAGCTGGGAAAGCCAAGACTAGAACTCACCAATCTCGCACTCTTTCCACAATACCATGTTGCCTCTCAGTCATCTCAATAATCATTTGGTCAATTCCAACATTATCATTGCTCAATGTGGATTTTTTGAAATAGCAACAACAACAAAACGATCAAACAGAAAATCATTTAAAATTGCCCATCAAATCTGTATATTTGAGTGTAATGAATAAAGCTGGAGTTAGGTGACATTGATTCCACCTCCCTTTGTCACCTGTGGTAGTCTATCAAGCCCTACCAGGCTCTTGTCCTCAACCTACTCAAGCCAATTGTGACTCATGGGTCTCAGGTAATTTCCAAGTTACCAGATGGGTCAAGATGGTTGTAATGGAAACATCTGGCTCTGTTTTCCTTTTCTTTCTTATAAGGATGCAATACCTCCAATATCTCACCTCTTTGGTATGTTGACCATGAACGGAGTAAGTGAACGGTCAGTAAAATAAAGCACTTTAGTGCAAGCATTGTTGTTGATGGTTGGAGAACTCTGTGAATGAGGCAACTCTGCAAAAAGAAAGACAATCTTGTGGTTAGGACACCAGCTTTACCCTCACACTGACCCCACCTTTGTCATCCAAAGGTCCGGGCATCTGCCAGGTCATGGCATAGCTCCTTGCACCTATCAACACACCATATACATAAGGAGTGATCCAGAGGAATTCAATAGTGGGGCCATGAGGAAAAAAGATGCCTCAGACACGGACTCTACTCCCAAGAGAGTAGAGCCCCAAAGCCATTCACAGCAGTGCTGCCAGGAGTCAAGGTTTTTGATGAGAAACAAACATGGTCAAGTTTCAAATGAAAGCATAGGTACACAACAGGAGATGCATACAGATCTTCAATAGGGTGATCAGCAGTAAAATATGATTTTGTTATCCTTGTGTGACTCAGAAGAGGATACTCATTGGGGCAACAAAGACTTATGGGAACCCTGGTCCTTAAAAAACAAGAAGGAGTTTCCATCTGAAAGATATAAGACCTACCCTCCCCCAAGCTGTAGGAGTTCTGAAGTATATGTCTTTCAGGTCCGTGTCTTCCTTTCTCCCTTGTATTTGTCCAAAGATTGTGAATGGTAGCTAGCTATATCTAGCTGTAACTTTCACAGAAAGGTTACTCTGAGACCACTGAAAAACCATGATCCTAGGAACCCAAATTAGTCACAGGAATTTTTGTTAGAGCTGAAAATTCTCCTGAAGTTCTTACAGAACCCTCTCCTCTTAAGTTGCTCTGAACATTTAATCCTCAACGAATGGGGTAATTGTTTTGAGAAGGAAGTAGGTCAGATAGACCACTGGGAGAAATAGGGTGAGTAGGTGGAGGGCAGGCAAGGGTGTTTTATAAGAAGATCAAAGACTCAACGAATTTCATAGTAAAAGGGGTCTAATCCATACCCCAAACACACCTAACAATCCATTCTTGGCTTGAAGTACTGGGAGGGAGAAACTACTACCTCCTGAGGCAGTCTATTCTACTTTGGAAATGTGCCATTCTCTTTTTGCATAGTTATCATCTTAAATTAGCTGGCAGTTGGTACTCAAAAAAGTTAGTGGCTGAAATTGCCTGCGATGATAGTCCTTTGTGAAACATTAATTATAAGCATGAAAGTACTATTGGCAACTCTTTGCTATTGTAATGAAAAGACTAATTGTAGTTTTAATAGAGAACTCAGTTTATAGGATTTAGGAAATTGCATATATTTTAAATTATATATTACATATGCATATCTGTACCTCTCTATGTACATATATGTATACACATATATATTATATATGTATACAAGATACAGATATCTTGCTGAGTCTCTTTCTGTCTTTCTCTCATTCCCCTCATCCTCATCATCTACTCTTTTGCTTAGTCCTCTCAAGGTTACAAAATTCCCAAAGACTTAGTCCACTTTACATCATCAAATCTTCACTACACTAGGGAAAGCGCTAAAGATAAGACAAGATAAGGATAAAGATAAGAAACAATCAATCCAAGGAAGGCTGAAACAAACATTTAGAAACTACAAGACAAAATCAATTTAGGCCTTAAAATTTCCATGTCTATTTACAGAATAGTATGTTTGTTATTCCGTAAACCACTGTGACCTGGAACCAGACTGAAGTTTTCTGAAGGCAATTATTCTTCAGGGGAATAAAGGGAGATACTTGGGGTCAAAGATTTGGGGAAATAGGCTTATAGATCTGTTTGGAATATTTCATTATGAATGTTTTCTATTTTTTTTGTGGAAAATTTATTTCTTTATTTAAACTTCTAATTCTTTTGAAAACCCAGGAATTTTATTTTTGATGACCTAATTATTAATGGATTTGTTATTACAAAATTTTATATGCATCAAGTTTAGCCTTTTAAGTTACAACATTCTGTATTTTTATTGCTATTGAGGTTATATAAATACTTGACTTTTTTGGTGTCCTAGATCCCTTTGGCAGTCTGCAGAAGCTTAATACCACAGTATTGAAAGAAATGCTAAATTTAAGTTAGAGTTTAGTGAAAAATAAAGATGTAATTTTTTTTCCCCAACCAAATTCACAAACCCCCCTGAAATCTATCCATGGACCTCTAAGGGTTAAGAACCTCTGGTCTAGGGGGAACCAAACAAAGTGCTGAGGGTGAGCAAGTGTGAAAACCAGGAAGCAAAATAGAAAATGAAATAGAAAACATCACACAATAATCTGGGTATGCTTTCAGAAATCTCTAAAAGAACAAAGGAAAAAATGCAATAAATGACCAAGGACAAAGCAATTTACAGTCACTGACAGGATAAACAAGTATTTCAAAATCCTTGCCACTAGATGGTGCAAGCATTTTGTAATTTTAAATGATCTTCGCTGGCCTAAACTAACCCACAGGATAAAGAGTTTTCTCATAGAACTAAACACCTTGCTTCCAAGTAGAGTTACACCTATGCAGCTCAGTCCAGGATAATTTGCAAGTCTGAGGTTTTGATTTCTTTATAAATTGGGAGTTTAAGTTTGCATATTTTAAAAAGGTATTTTAAATCTTTATGAACTATTATAAGCTTCTTGGATAAGCTTACTAATCTTGGATTCTTCCTTAAGTTCTTTCAATGAGAACAAAGTACTACAAGTAAATAATATGGAACCTGTGTATCTAGAAACTCCAAATTGCCAAAAATTATAGGTTCCGTACCCTAGTGATTAGCAGAACCGAAAAGCTTGAACTTTTGGTTTAATTTGCCAGGAGTCCCTGCTAGGGGTTACTGGAAAATGAACAATTAGAACTGGTGGGTACTCACTTGAATTAGGGGGCCAGGACTCCCGGTATTCACTCCCTCTAGGTGATTTGCCCCGAACCTGAGGATCCAAAGCAAGAGAACCACTATCAGTACAGTCCAAATTTCCAACTAATATACAGGAGCCTCATAAGGAAATTCATATAATAAAAATGTTCTTAAAATACCCACACTTTGCCCTCTTACCAGCCACCACAACTCTGCCTAAACAACCAAAAAAATTAACTGCTAAGCATGTTTACAATGAACTATGCAAGCCATCTGTGCTGACAGTGATTCTTTGGGTCAGGAAGTCTAAGTCTCTAAAAGACCTACACTGCAACCAAAAGGAATGGTACCATCAATTCCAGGCCTAAACAGTCATTCATCATAAAAACCAGGCCCTACAGGAAAGAAAGCCGAACAAAGAACTGCAATCCTTAGCAAGTCAATAGATACAGCCTTACATTATAACCCTTACCCTCATCTCAATTAAAATTCACAGAAACACGACTGTTACTGCCTCCCCCCTCTTCCCTAAAAGACCTGCTGAAGGGACTGGGTTACCCGCTTGTCCTGTTTCTTCTGCATCTCCATGGCGTGCAGGCGCTCCATGAGACTGGAGATGCCTTGCTCCAGACTGTCAATGGTGTGGTGCTGGGGGTCATGACCACTGAAGCTGTTACGCAGGCTCCGAAGAGCATCTCGGACAAGCTGCAGATCATTGGCCTACAGGTGAAACAGGTTTCCATCAACAAAGGCAAATATTGCCATTGCAATAATCTATTCGGCTCAAGAAACCTCAGGGACACACTTTGTATCGCTGTCCTCATGGTTTACCTATGTTTGCCTACAAGGAAGGGAGTTTGCAGAGTAACCTCTTCTACATTAACAAGTACTTGCTTGCTCTTAGTTTCTGACCATTAACTTCTCTTATCTCCAGAGCGGTTCTAAGAGGAGGGATTCTGAGACACTGAAGAGACACAATTTTGGCCAAAGCCCAGGACTGAGCACAGTTCTAATGTGCGTTACTCTGGAAGAACTCTGCTCAAAAATCTAATTACCTACCCCTCTGTGGGCAGTTGAGGCAGCTCCTTTCCCAGGCATTGGGAGGAAAAACCCATTGCTTTGAGCGTTGTGACTATTGTAGTTGGTTACCTGCTGAAGCAAAAAAAGGAAATGAAAACAGAAGAGACGCTTGTTATAGGGGAGGATACAGGCCGTAGTGATTTAAAAAAAAGTCTCATCCTAGTTTCTGCCCCAGTTGCAGTAGTGCCCAAGCATCTCAGAGAAAAAAAAAAAAAGGTAGGCTTCCCTTCCAACATCAGCTGGATGGCATCTTAGTAGGAGAAAAAAAATGACCTATGGATCTTTGTGCAGCCCGAGAGCAGAATTTGGGTCTTTCTCCTTATATTAGAAAATGTGGAACGAAGACCCTCAAGTCTGACACACTCAAATTACCTCATCAGCATCTCTCTTCATACAGTGTGCCAAGAGGACATCCTTATGTTCCAGTTCACGTTCCAGATCAAACTGCAAGGCCAAGAAAGCAAATTAGAAAAGGGTTGCTTCAGATCAACGGAGTAGTAAAATCACTGGTTGGCTGCATCCCCACCTGTTGGTAGTTGGCCTCAGAAAGTTTCCTGAGTGCTTCCTCCAGTTTGCCCTGGTGCTGTTGTATGAGTCGATCCTTCTGCCCCAACTCTTTCTGCAATAGAAAAAGATGAAGAGCTTTCAAAAATCCTGCCTGAGAGAGGTAAAACAGACGACTCATTCTCTCCCCATGCACCTGCCACTCAAGGAAAAGACCACCTGCCGAAGTAAAGTCCCTTGTGGGTCCTATTCCATGAGGACAAGATGAATCAGAGATGAAAGTGCTCCGCAAATAGGTCTCCTGGGGAGGGGGAAAATGATGTGAAGAAAAGCCTAGGCAGGAAGAAATAAATAATTTCTGCTGTCCTCTGCCTCTTTCAATCTTGAATTTTCATCTCTTTATTAGACCGGGCTCTACCAGGAAACCAGAACAGCTGCTGCTACCCCCATGTCTGACCTCTAGGGGCACCATGGTCTTTCTACTTCTCTTGGACTAAAGGTGAATAATTTTCCCTTAGATCAGCTCAGATAAGGTTAGAATTTTTTGAAAGGATCTTCAATAGGTAAGTAAAGGAAGAAAGTAAATTATAAAATCATAGAAAAAGATGATAGATTGCTTATTTTATATCTAGATTGGCCTGACTAATAGCATTTTTCTGGCTTCAAGCCCTATTTCCTTTTCCTTGCCTCAAATCTGTTTAGTTGGATGCTAAAACAGGTTATTCCGGTTCCTAGTTCAAGGTATATTTGGACTGGCACTAATGCTGGATTAAGGGCAGGGTCTTAGCCTCTAGGAGTTCCTGTTTCTACTAACTATAAACCTTCAAAAGAAAATGTTGGGCTAGATGACCTCTAAAGGCCCTTTCACCCTCCCTGGACATGGGTCCCCTAGGTAAGAATGGTACTGACATAGAAAGTCTTCAAAAATTCCTCCTTAGGGCTTCAGGCTATCTAACACTAACCTTACAGTCATATCCTTCTACCTTATAGTGGCCTCTACAGTTCTGACCTCTAGAAGTCCTATCCTTACCTCTGATCTGTTTCTCTCAGCTTTGATTCATTTGTTGAGACTTATTCACTGGTTCAACTAGTCACCCAAAGTTAGAAACGGCCTTAGAAGTTATCAAGTGTCCCCTTGAAATACACTAGTGTTGAACAGCATACAATCAATCCCCTGGGCCAGTCTATGTAATATTTGGGGTCAGCTCTAATTATTATAAGTTTCTTTTTCACAAATGCTCGGCACTGGAAGGAACACCTCTACCTGAACCAGAATCCACTTTATAACATACTAATGGCCTCATTGTACTCTCCCCTGGTCAGGCTCCATCTGGAGTACTGTGTTCAGTTCCAAGCACAGTATCTTAGGAAAGACAATGGCAAGTGGAGAGTGACCAGGATGGAGGCCATGAGACATGAAGACTGATGGAAGGAAAAGTCTAGAGGAGGAAAGGTGCAGAGGAGACACGACCTTTGTCTTCAAATATTTGAAAAGCTGTCATGGAAGAGACAGATTAGTCATTCTTCTTGGCTCCAAAAGGCAGATAACAGTGTGACAACAGAGTCAGTGATAGATTTGTTGTCAGAGGGCTTAGGCTCCAGTCCCAGATCTCCTACTTACAACCTGTGTAATCTTGGCTTGACATCTTTGGGTCTCAGCTTCCTCCCCTATACAATGAGAAGGCTTGACTAGATTATCCTTCAATCTCAACCTCCAGTGGCATGATCTCAAGGCCCTTCTCCATCCTGATCACTCTCCAGCTAATTATCAATATCTCTCTTAAAATGGGGTATCCAGAAATGAATATAATACCCACTGTGGTCTGACCAGGGGAGAGTATTATGGGACTCTTATCTCTGGCGTTCTGGAAATCAGGATTCCTTTGAGGCAGTTAAAGACCCTGTTACTTTTTGGGGCTGCCATATCACATTGCTAATTCATGGTGAACTTGCAGTTTACAAAATTCCCTAGATCTTCTTCAGATGGACTGTTGTGGAGTGATGCTGCCCTTATCTCATCCTTGTGAAGTTGGTTTTTTGAACCCAACTGTAGAATTTTAAGTTTAAATTTCATCTTAGTAGAGTCAGTTCAAAATTCAAGTCAGCTGAGAACTTTTTGATTCTGACTCTGTCATCCAATGAGTTAATTCCTCCCAGATTTGTATTATCTGCACATTTGATAATCACACCATCTATGTCTTCATCCAAATAGTTGATTTAAAATGGAAAATTAGTACAAAGCAAAGAACAAATCCCTGGGACGATCTGCTAGAAACAGCTCTTTAAATGAACATTGATCCATTTTTGGTCTTGTCATCAACCAGTTTGGAATCCAACCACTGTCTCACAATTTTCTTTTTTGCCCATTTGACTGTGGCAAATGCTTTGGATAAGCTTTATCTACAACTCACAGCAGTAACCCTGTTATAAAAGGAAATGATGTTAGTCTGACACAATCTATTCTCTATGAAGTCAAGTTAAGTCAAAAATCTGCCTCCTTCTAGCTTCTAACCATTGGTCTTAACTTCTGCCCTGCAGCATCCTTATCTTCCCAGGACACACTCTGCGCTCCAGCCAAGTTGGTCATTTCTGCCCCAGGAAAAGGCGCTGCACTCTCACCACACTTTTAAAGCCCAATCAAAGGCTACTTTTTCAAGGAAGCCTTTCCTGATCCCCACCTCACTCCTGGCCCTGTTTCTGGCTATTAAGTCTTTCTTTCCAGGCCACACTCAGCACTTGGTTTTTTAACATTCCAATGAATTTATTATGTAACAGTAGAGTAGAGCTATCTGTGTTGGAGTCATGTTGTCGTTCAGTTATGTCCAACTCTTTGTGACCCTATGGACTACTTTTTCCATGGGATTTTCTTGGCAAAGATACTGGAGTGGTTTGCCAATTCTTTGTCCAGTGGATCACCTTTTGTCAGAACTCTCATTATGACCTGTCCGTCTTGGGTTGCCCTGAACGGGATAGCTCGCAGTTTCATTGAACTATATAAGCCCCTCTGCCACAACAAACCAGTGATCCAGGAGGGGCTTTTTTTTTTGCCAAACAAGGGCTGAGTGACTTACCCAGGATCACACAGTGAGTAAGTATCTGAGGTTGGATTTGAACTGAGGTCTTCCTGTTTCCAGGAACAGCACTCTATCCACAGAGCCACCTAGCTGCCCCAGCTAAACTACAAGTTCTTGGTAAAGTAACTGTGTTTCATCTAAACTTTTAGTACTTTAAATGTTTTCAGTATTTCACAGGATTATAGATTTAAAACTGAAAGAGACCTGAAAGCTCATCTAACCTAACCCCCTTGTTTTACAAGTAAGAAAACTGAGGTCCACTGAGGTTAAATGATTCGTCCAACAAGTAGTAAATAAGTGGCAAAGGGGATTGCAACCTAAAATCTCAGATTCCAAACCCAGTTCTCTTTTCCACTGTGTTATGCTGGAAACTGGAGTTAGTTGTCTTTGCACTTTGCCATCTACAGCCAAGCAGAATAACTCGTCTGTCTTTGATATAATTCTTCAAGTGGATGAAGACAGAGGTCATATCCTTTCCTAAGCCTTCTCTTCTTATACGCTTCCTTTATCCAATCTTTGTATGGCACTTTACCTCCTCTGAATGCACCTTAACTTTTCAATTTTCTTCCTAAGACGTGGTACTTGGAAATAAACACAATATACTGACTTGGATCAAGATAGAGTAAAATGAAATTGTTTTTGTGCTCTGGTACTAGAGCAGGGACTAGTGCCCAGATGCTCCATTTAGTTCTGCCCTTAAAGTATGGCTAGCTTCTTTACTGCCCTAGGCTAGCATCCGGCCTTTGTTTCTCCAGTACCCAGTGACAACTATCCCCATCTCTGGAGCCCAACCAGAGCATTCTATCATCGCCTTCTAACAGCCAGCATCTGACTGCTGTCTCTTCTTATTTCAAATCTAGTTCCTACTGTTGGAACTCTCACTAAGTTCCTATTTCTGGTCTGAGAGTCAACTACCTCTTTACTTATTTACACAATAATGATAACAAGCAAGATCTGAACTCAATAAAGTGAACAGGCTACCCCAACTTCCTCAATCTAGGATGACACACTCAGGATCTTCTACAGTCCCAGATGAATGGCTTTTTCAAAATCCTTCCACTATAGACTTAAAATAGAAAAATACTGTATAAGTCAATAAGAAGATAATTTTCATCAACTGTAAGGGGACAGTTATTTCCTAAGATTACTTTAGAGCAATAAAAGAGAATATAAGAAGCATTACTTATAAGGGCCTAACTCCACATATTAATCTGTCTATTCAGATAGGTGCAAAAATGATATTAGGAAAAAAAATAATACTTTACATTTCATAGCCTCTAAAAAGTTAGACCTGAGACAATCCAGTTCAAGCCCTTTATCTGATAGATATGGAAATCGAGTCTACCCTGAATGCTCCTACCGTGCTCACTTTCCCACAGAACCTACATACACTGGTGGGACAGTTTAGACTAAGTTTATGAGTAGGTTGTGATGTTTTGATTACTCTTGTTTTTTTGTCTTCTGAGTAACCATAATGTCTAATTGCTTTTGTCTTCAATTTAATTAATATTATAATTAAATACTATTGTTGTTTTTGCCTGAGCTGGGAGAACTCAGATCCTCTGACTTTTTTTGGGGGGGAGGCAATTGGAGTTAAGTGACTTGCCCACGGGCACACAGCTAGTAAGTGTCAAGCGTCTGAGGCCAGATTTGAACTCAGGTCCTCCTGACTCCAGGGCTGTTGCTCTATCCACTGCGCCACCTAGCTGCCCCAATCCTTTCACTTTTGATCCAATGCTCTTATACTACACCATATTGTATAATGTCAAATTACTGTCGTAGAGTACTTTTACATCTATTATCTTGTTTGATCCTACTAGCAATTTCATGAATTAAATAGGGGAAATATTTTCATTTTCGATGAGGAAACTGAAGTTCACAAGGTTATTCAGGCCCAATATGAGACAGCTAGTTAGCAGAATAAATGAGATTAGAACCTAGGCCCTCTGATTTTGAGCAAGGCACTCCTTCTACCATACCATATTGTCTCCTGTAGGAAACCACCATCCTACTAGTTACCTAGGTTTGCAACCTTGACATCATCCTCGATTCTTCATCTTCCCTCACTCTACGTATCCAGTCATTTGAGAATTAGAGAGCTTGTGTGGGAGAGGGAATTGAGAATCAAGTAGGTGTGAGCAAAAAACACAAAGCAGGAGGGAAAAGGATGACTTCAGTTCTTTTTCACAGTAGCAGCAATGGGAAACAACAGCTCAATAGATGGGAATTACTTGCCACCCTAATTCCATTCTTACTTTGTATTCTCCTAAGAGGCGGCTTCTTTCATCCAGTTTCCTCTGAAGATCTACCTATAAGAAGGACAAGAACAAGGTTCATTGGAATGCTTGCCGAACCAACCCGGGATAACACATATCTGATTATGTTAAACAACATATCATGTTGCTTGGGGAAAAAGTAGAAGCCCCTTCCATGTTTCATCAGAAAGACATTCTGACCGCAGATACTTTCAGTCAAGTATCTCAGGGTCTTCAAAGTTGCTGAGGGGCCCAAAAATCTCTCTGCCCAGTATGGCCTGGGATATATCTAGGAACAGAGATAAACTCAGTGTAACATAAGAACACACACTAGTACTAGTAGTCTGGGGGTCCTTCATACTCTGTTCAACAAGGTTACCTGTCCCAGCTTCAGTCCAGAGATCCTTCATATAACTCACATTCTGGTTGTGTAGCTCATCCTTGTCCATGTTTGCTCTCAAAAGTTCTTGTTTAAGCTGAAGAACAGACGTGTCCTGTTGAGTCAATCTCTGCTGCAAAGCATCCTGGAAGAAAGTATATCTTAATGTGGTTATGCTCCATTATTAGGTTATTGTTAAGTGTCTATTTTGTGAACTGCCATTCTATGTGGCATTGTGGTTGTTGTGGTCTCTGCCCACCATAATCTTACCACATATTTGGGAAGGTAAAACTATTAGTGAGTAAGAAATCTGTCCCTGTGTCTTACCCCTCCCTATTCTTGCTACATTTCAAAATTCCTTGACATCATCCACTGTTCTTTCCTCCTTTCCTCCAGTCTCTGATGAAGAGGTGGCTCTTCTCCTTGCCATACTCAATGGCAAGTACCTTTATTTATAAAATACCCTTGATTCCATCTCCTTCCATCTTCTCTAGCAAATTGCTTCCACAATCATCCCCTCTCTTTCTAATCTTAAATCTCTTCCTTATCTATGAAATCCTTCCCTACTGCCTACAAACACACTCAAGTCTCCCCAATCCTTAGAAAACATTCAGGAGACACCCCATCATCCCATTAACTGACTGCCTTAGATGTCTCTTCCTTTTCATAGCCAAACTCCTAGAAAAAGCAGTCTACACTCACTGTCTCTATTTCCTCTCTTCTCATTCACTTCTCAACCTTTTCAGTTTGGTTTCCAACCTCATCACTCACCTGAAACTGCCCTCTCTAAAATGACCAATCATCTAATTGCTAAGCCTGATGGCCTTTTCTCAATCCTTATCCTTGTCAACATCACTGCAGCAATCGCCAATGTTAATCATCCTCCCCTCCTGGTTACTCTCTCCTTTCTGGTTGTTTTTTGTTTTTTTTTAATGACTCCTCTCTCAGCTCTCCTCCTACCTGTCTGATAACTCCCTCCCAGTCTTCTTTCATGGGGCAGGTATACCCCAAGGTTCTCTCTTGGGCCCCCTATTCTCTCTCACTCTGTGATCTTATCTGTTCCCATAGGTTGAATGACCATCTCTATGTAGGTGACTCCTAGATCTTTATATTCATTCCTAGTTTCTCACCTGTGCTCTGGAAAGCTTGTATCTTCTGCTGCCTACTGGACATTTCAAACTGTGTGGTCCAGAGGCATCTCAAACTCAACAGGTCTAAAACAGAACTCATCTTTTCCCAACTTACACCATCCCCCATAAACCTCCCTATTTGTTGAGAGCACCACCATCCAGGTTTGCAACCTTGGTATCGTCCTTGATTTCTCATTTTCCCTCACTCTGCATATCCAATCATTTGTCCTGTGTTTCTACATCCACAACATCTCTCAAATCTGTCCCTTTCCGATCATATGGCCACCACATTGGTTCAGGACCTCATCATCTCCTGTCTGGAAAATTGCAACCACTAGCTTTCTAATTGGACTCCCAGCCTCAAGTCTCTTCCTACTCCAGTCCACATTCCAAACAGCTGTCAAAGAGATTTTCACAAAGTACAGGTCTGACCTTGCCATTCCCCTAATCAATAAACTCCAATGGCTCCCAGTTGTCTTTCAGATCAAATATAAATTCCTCTGTTTAGATTTTAAAGCCCTTCACATTCTGGCTTCCACCTACCTGCTCACCGTAATTTCCTGTCCCATACGTACTCTGCAGTTCAGCTACACTGGCCTTATTGCCACTTTTCACACATAATACTCTAGAACAGAGGTTTCCAAAATTATCTGCCTTATCACCCCCTTTTAAAAAAATTACTCAGTGCCCCCCCAGAAATCTACTTTCTTTAACTCTTTAATGTTTTTTAAATTTTGTATAATTTCAAAAAATATAATTTTTTTTTAAAAATGATGCACCTTAAATTTAATATTTTATTGTAAATTTGTGGTTTTTTTCCTGCATTGAGATGGTGCGATATTGCATCATGTAACCATATAGTATCTGTACTGTAAAAAGTCATTGCATGCACATATTCCTGCTGATGCATACTGGACTTCCCAACACTGTGCTACTTGCTTGTTGAGACTTGTCATCAGACTTGACCACTGATTGGTTATAACTTGCATTTTGTGTGTTTATTTGGAAAATAATGTAATCACTATGACTTTAACTCTGTTCCATAACAGATGAAACATGTACAAAAGGTTTTTAAATTTTTTTCTTATCTTTTCTTCTTTCCTTATGCGTCTACCGACCTCTTATTTTATTCAACATTCCCCAATTACACACAAGGCTACCACCCCCCTGGACTGGTCCAGTGCTTCCTAGGAGGCAGGAACCTATGCACTAGACTGATAGACTTTGATTCAAACTCTGCCTTACTAGCTGTATAATTCTGGATAAGTCACCTAAACTATCTGGGACAGTTTCTTCATCTATAAAACAGTGGGCTTGAATTAATTGACCTTTCTAAGGTCCCTTACAGGCAACTAAGTGTCAAAGTGGATATAATGTGCTGGCCTTGGAGTCAGGAAAAATTGAGCTCAAAACCAGTTTCAGACAATTACTGTGTGACCCTGGGCACTAGTCACTTAGCTTCTGCTTGCTTCAGTTTCCTCAACTGTAAAATGAGAATAATTACAGCACCTATCTGCCAGGGTTGTTATGAGAACAAATGAGATCATACTTGTAAAGTACTTAGCATAGTTCCTGGCACATAGTAAATACTCAATAAGTCCTTCCTTTCTTCTTTCCTTCCAGCTCTACATTTATGATCCCATGATCTCCAATCTCTGTGCCTTTGCACTAGCCTGTCTCCATGACCAGAATGTATTCTCTATACATCTGTACCTCTTAAAGTCCCTTGTTTCCTTCAAAATCCAGCTCAAGTACCACCTTCTATATGGACCTTTTCCTGTTTCCCTTCCTACCCCATTCCCCACCTCTAGCTGCCGGTGCTCCTCCCCTCAAAATACTTTTTATTTATTTTATTTTATTTACACTCACATATGTTCACATTTTATAATAGAATGGAGGCTCCTTGAGAGGGCTTTCATTTTTGTCTTGGTCTCTCCAACACTCTGCATAGTGCCTGGTACATAAGTGCTTATTGACTGATTGACAATATAGGGACCAGTTCAGATCAGATTTCATTAATATAAGGAATCCTGGTATGGAAACAACCTACTCTGATGCAGGCCCATAATTTGTCTATGACTTGGAGTCAAGTTGCTGAGGACCCTGGCAGACTGTGTGACCTATTTAGCTACACAGCTGGTATATGTTAGTGGTAGGATAAGAACCCAGGTCTTGCTGACCCCAAACCTAGCACTCTATCCACTTGGCCAGGCAGGTAAAACCTCTCAAACTGTGAGGTACATACAGAGAAAATGAGACAATATATAAGAGCATACTTATTTTGCAATACAGACAAAAATAAATAAATAAAAGGAGTTAGAAAATGAAGAAGTCAAAGTGGACTGAAGTTATCAGAGAAGTTGTCACAGAAAAGGTAGAACCTGAGGGAGGGAATGAAAGGAGAGAGAGAATTTGAAACTGAAAATAAAAAAAAAAAGTAGGACCTGAACTAGGTCTTGAAAGATTGAAATACAGATAGGCAAGAAAAGAGACATTCCATATGGAAGAGATAGTCATTTTTTCTTGTTTTACAAAAACGCAGGGCACAAAAAAGAGCCTTCAAAATCATGTATGAGGATGGCCTGCAGTCTCACACCCCACTTTTAGTCTAAGATATTGGGTAGCATCTCCCTGATCTCAGGATATTGGCCTACCTTTGATTTTCTCCATACTAGAGATCATAGAAACACAATGAAACTTGTACTCTGCACAAACACAATATAGTGTTTGTTTGTGGGGGGTGGGGAGGTTGGGGTACAAAGAGAAAGTATATGACACATTTTTCCATGTGGCAATAACCTTGACAGTGCTGTGTAAGAGGACTCCCAGTCTGAGATGCCCTTGGCCTTCAATGTCCCAGAATTATTCTCTGACCTATGGATGGAAAATGAAGGAGAAAGGACAACCTCGTAAAAGCCTTTTTTCCTTAGGGCTGGGAGGACATGGTTTACATACGGCTGCAGCCAAGGTGGTATGGAGACTCTGGGTGCCAAAAGCATTCAAGGAAAGAAGCCTCAGCTGAACAGAGATACTCCATTCCACAGATCGAGTCAGTGCCTAACACAGAAGCTCAGAGTTCTGTACCCACTCCACCAGAAGACAACATTCTCTCTTAGGGAATCAAATAAAAGAGTTAGCTTGTATTTCTTTTTACCTTTATTCCCTGCAAATTCCTGACTTCTTGCTTGCATTTCAGCAGCTCTTTCTGAAAAAAACAAACACAGTTAGATTAGATGACTTTTGCCATTTGCACTGCCTCAGAAGCATCACCTCCCCTTGTCTCACAGAGAGCAAAACAATGAGGACATTCCGTGGCAGAAAACAAAACGAAGGCCTCATTCAGTCAGCAGCAAATGATAAATCACAGAAGAGCTGGCAGAGGTCCACCGAGTCATCTCAGTGAAGAACTACACAGACCCTTTTGGGACAGGAGGGAAGGGGAAGGTTCCAAACCTATTTCGGTACTTAACAACCCTCACCCACAGAAAGTCTTCCATATATGTCCCCAAGTGTCATGGCTCAAGTAACCTAAATCCCTCTTACTGAAACATAAGCTATGCTAATAGGTGTTCTGCCAATATTGTTACATTATCTTAGTTCAGCCCAATACCAGGCAAAGGACCAGAGAGCTCCTAAAGACCAGTCACTGCCTTCTGGGGAACTTAGCATTTAGATGAGAACATATTTCCTCCACAAAAGTCCTAGGTCAATGCCTCGTCATGTTGTGGAGGTAACCTTGAGTTCTCAAAGGTAGTGCCAGGAGAATACAACCAAGGCACACACGTTGGATGGGCTTCAAGGGCGGGCCTGGAGCTGGACTGTGGTTCAGAAGTACTTAAGAAAAATAAGGACAAAAATCAATAAAAGGAGTTAAAAAATGAAAAAGTCAGTGTGGACAGAGTATATCAGAGAAATTCACAGAAAAGGTAGAACCTGGGGGAGGGGATGAAAGGAGAGAGAGAATCTGAAACTGAAATAAAAAAGGAGGACCTGAACTAGGACTGAGATACAAATAGGCAGGAAAAGAAGCATTCCATATGGAAGAGATATTAATATGTTGAAGTAAAAAGATATGGTCTGGAATATGGCATGGATTACCTAAAAAATTCAATTCCATGGTAAATATGAATCCAAGTGTATGTCTGGGAGTCCATATCTACAGACCAGATTTTTACAGAGGGGAAAACCCATGGTCCTCTCATTTCTTTTTCGCCTACTTAACACCATGAGTTTGCTGGAAACTTTTTTACTTTAAGAAACCCTAAAAGGTATTTGGGAAAAGCAGTCCTTACTGACCCTAAATCCTTTAAACAGTTCCCCCCCCCATTAATTTACTATGCATATACACAGCTGTACCTTCAGGTCCTGATTTTCTTCCACGCTCTGATCCAGACGACTTTGGATTATGATCTAAATACAAGAGAAACAAAATGGTTATGCCCTGGAAGACTGCTCCTCGCACCAACCAGACATAGAAAATCTCAGGGTGAAAGAAGCAGCTCACCAGTTGCTCTTCAGGGTTGGCTCCTGGTTCGAAGAGAGCCAAGGGCCTCTCTTGTTCATCTTCAGGCAGGGACCCATTAAGCAGCAAGGCCTGAAAATCAGCAAAGTCAAAATGAAATGTGACCCCTCCAATCAGGTGATTTGTGCCAGATAATTCAGAACTGAGCCCAGTGAGCTCAGTCCCTAAACTGGAATCACTAACCTCCTTCCCTTAGAAATTCCTTTATAGTTTTGGCTGCTCCTTTATTCTGTGCAGATGCATGCTAATCTTAGGACAATCTAGAGTTCTGACACTATCCATGCACCAAGCTTCTATCACTTCTCTGAATTCACCTGTATCTTCAGTCACAAAAGCCCCTCTCAGTCCCAGGAGGTAACTGGAGAACAAACCCTGCTTTCAGGAACAGCTGGAAGCATTTCAAATCAGAGCTACTCAAACTGGCTTTAACCAACAATACAGGGAACCAGAAACAGAGGTTGTTTCTGCTGGCTTTAAAAAGTACTTTTCAGTGAATCAATTGGAATGTGTCTGGGGAAGGGGAGAAGGAGGGAAGGGGAGGTTAACTGATACAGATTTAAAAAAAAAATCCTCATTCTAACTTCCCAAGGTTACTTTGAAGATCTGCATAGAAAAAGTAGGGAATGTGTTTGTATGTAGATTATATGTCCCCATGCATTTTGACTCTCCACACTGGACCTAGTTTTTATCAGAGAATCAGTTATATAGACAGGATTGATTATCAACTGAGCTACAGAAAATAATTAAAAGAGGCAGTCTGAAGACACCGACTCTGCTTTACAACCAAACTGAGTCACAATTCTGCCAAATGAGATAAAGGTTTACATAGGTCACATACCGTTTCAGCAAACATTTCAGTATATTAAAAAGGTTAAGTCTGGCCAATGATTCATTTTCAGCATCTCAAAGGAATTTGAATTTACGATAAGAATATGATATGAAGCTTCATGGTTATATCAAGTAGAAAAACAATGGGGCGTCTAGAAAATGGTTCAATCTTTAATAATGAACTCATTAACAAGCTTTAACTAAAGCTATATTAGTGGATGAGAAATCTAGGCTATAGCTATGCTGTAACTTAGTCATCATTGAAACCTTTAAGGAGTCCAGAGGATGCTATGAGTTATTCTGTCTGGCAGCAGAATTCAGTTCTCCTCATAATTAGGTGGCTCTGAATTAACAAGCTTCTCTGGATATTGCAGTGTTGACTTTCAGGTTGATTCCTCATTTTTCCTACTTTCTCACCAGTCAGTGGCTCTCTCCCTATTGGAGGAACATAAACCTTCTTGAGAGTCAAATGATGGATATCTATATTCATAGGATGCAAATGATCCTGGGGAAAATCTGTGTCAAGTGTATGTCCTGAAGTTCTTCCATGGTGTACTGCCATGTATGATTGTATAACCGAGGAAAACATTTCGTTAGTTATTCCTGGAGCACTGGAGGAGAATCTAAATTGCCTTTAAAATACTGAATCAAAAATGGAAAAAATCAACGATTTTCTCGATGTTGTTCTTAAGCAATACATACTCCTGACTTCCTCAGTCCCAAACGCATATATTATGCAGATGGCTTTGGCCACTACGCCAATCTCCTTTTTTCTTTGGGAACCTTTTGTGTCGCTTCTCTGTCGTCGGCTGGGAGCACCCCATCCACCGCCTGCCTGCTGCTTGTGCCACACACACAATGTGGGCTTTGTTTACGTGTCCATAAATATTTGACAACTCAGAAACAGCACCGTTCCCAGCACAAATGAAAAAAGATTATTCCTAGGCAATTTCAGGGTCGTCAGCACACTACTCTGGGTTCCTCCCCAAACCAGGGACAGACATACAAAAACAACAAAGTGGGGGTCATTTAGTGTGGGAACTATGTCAAGTGGGTCGGTCAGTTCCTTTAGTGATATCTGCTGAACTGGCCCTGCAGGTAGAATATAGGGAATGTTGAGGAGTTTTATTTCACTTAAGGAAAACCTACTCTACCTGGTCATTGAGATATAGAATCCATGAAAATTGCAATGTACGTTACTGAGCAACATCCCTGACCTGGAATTAAACTGAGAATTTGGGGGGCTGGCTCCAAAACTACTTTTAGGACAGTTCCTAAGAGAAATTGCACAACTATTACCTGTGTCTTTCATGAACAAAAATTACCTCTGCAGTCACCTGCAGGAAGAGAAACCCATCTCTCCAGAGCATAAATCTGGCATAAATGTTTAAAGGAAGGGAAGGGCTTCCCTGAAACCCTAACAGCTGAGCTATAAAAAACACTTCCATGCCTCTGAAGTCAGGAAACAGAAACATTTCCTTGTTTCTGTTCCCCGTCTGTTACCTGTCTTCCTGTCTCTCAACCCCACATTGAACTTTGACCTCCTATAAAATGAAACCAAGTTATTTTCAGAGCAGACACAGTCATGGGGGGAAGGAGGCATAAATCAGTGCGTTACAAGGAGAAAACCCAAGGGAGTGAGCTACCTGTAGTCCAGATATCATTTTCTTCGCCTCCTCCATTTCTTTTTCTAAGTGTTCCTGTTGCTCCAGCAGCTGGTCTTCCCATGAAGTCTCTAGATAGGTTCCTGGGCTCCCGGCTAACCAGTCACGGGAAAATGGAGAATCTGTCTCTTCTACAAAGGGAAAAAAGGCAGTATGGCTCATGCTGACAAACAACAGAAACCTTGTGGCAGAGAAGGTTCCCAGGGTCATTAGGCAGGGCTCTGGGCCTCCTGCACCTGTGGTCACTGCACAAACTGAAATCTCCACTAGGTAGGGAGGTGTGTGTGGGGGGGGGTGAGAACAGCACTAAGCAAAGCACCTTCCATGAACTCCAGGCTCAAGTCTCAGGGGAGCAGCATATATACTCTCACAGAAAGGGGAACTGCTGCCCCAGGAATGGCCCACATTACTTCTCTGGTACCATAAGAGGGAGGTGGGAAGATATCTCCCCAGCCAGCATCTATCTGAAATGGTACGTACGTATGTACAAGGCTGGTTTGGTTCTCAATTCCTGACATGTGTTCCCTAGGTCAGACTCCTAGAGACTGCTCATAGAAGGTGTCGATGGAAGGACCGCCAAATGTCATATATTTTTTCTAGCTACTTTGGAGCTTCAGCTGGGGAATGAACATTTAATCCTCCTTTGTTCCAACAGTCATAAATACTGAACCCTGCCTCCAACATACCCCAGAGGCAAAGCACACAGGAAACAAATCAGAAAAATACCTTTCCTGCTCTTACAAGAGTTTTAATGTTCCCAGAGCAGACATTGACAGTACCCAGGTCAAACTCCTCATCTGCATTTCCCTAATTTGCAGTAAACATAGCTGCAACAGTCATCATAATCATAAATGAGACAGCATGGCGCAGTAGAAAGAGAGCTGAACTCGGTCAGGAACACCTGGGCACAAGCTCCTCTCTGACACATCTGATTTGTATGACCTTGGATAAGTTCACTTAACCTAGGAATGGGGAACCTGCAACCTCAGGGCCACACGTGGCCCTCCGGGTCTTCAAGTGTGACGGAACCCAAACTTCACAGAACAAATCCCCTTAAAAAAAGATGTCTAGGTGGCCGGCTCACTCACTAAAATATCACTGGGAGCTCCCTACACACCAGGGTAATCACAAGTTTAGTGCTCAAAAGATGCTACATAGCTCACAAGTACACAGCATTTTAAGGTTTAAAAAACATTTCTAATATTATCTCATTTGATACTCACAAGAACCCTGTGAGGTTAGCCACTACAGATATTATCATCTCCATTTTACAACAGAGGGAACAGAGACTTGGAAAATTTTAGGGGTCACTCAGCTAGTTAAGTGTTGAAGGGAGGCTTCAAACATGGGTCTCCCCTGACTCCAAGTCCAGTGTTCTTTTCATAACATCATTCGTGTCTCCTCTCTTCATAGGAACACTAACGTGAGGTAGAGTAAAGGAGAATGACATTTTGGTTTTATTTCTGAAGGCCTTCATCCTATTTCTTCTGAGTGGCTGAAAATTCCATGAAAGCATCATCTGTTTTGTTTGATTCCTAATCTGTTTGCTCTGTATTTTGTGAGAGGGAAAGGGGAGTAGTCAATAGGGATATAAGGAACAACCAAGAAAGGGAGGCCAATTCTTGTTCCTCCCTCCCAACTTGAAACGAAAGGTATGTTTTCTACAACAACTTAGCTCATGTTTACACCTCAATCTAAGATCAGAGAAGAGTACAGAATTTTCTTTAAAAAATAAATAAATAGGGGCAGCTAGGTGGCACAGTGGATAGAGCACCAGCCCTGAAGTCAGGAGGACCTGAGTTCAAATCCGGCCTCAGACCAAACACTTGACATTTACTAGCTGTGTGACCCTAGGCAAGTCACTTAACCCCAATTGCCTAAAAATTTAAAAAAATAAATAAAATGAACTTTTAAAATAAAGTTTAGCTCAGACATTCATAGGATCATATAGCATCCTAGATGCAGCCAGGTAAGAAAAGACTTGTTCAGGCATTGCAAGGTTTTTTGACAGCTTGAACGTTGGAAGTGACACTAATCAAGAGGACATAACCCTCCTGATTGGCCCCAAAGGCAATAAGCCAAACTCTGGAAGTAGATATGGGCCAGTAAACTGGAGGAGGCTGATGATCACAAATGACTCTTGAAAACTCTTCAGAAGGACACTGCCCAGATTAATAGCCAATGTCAGGAGAGGTTGATAAGCATTACCTGTTCTGTTCTCCTGTCCTTCAGAAGGGATAATCACAAAATCTCCCCTCTCCTCCGACTGGGATATAATTGACTCACTCTTTGCACTGTGGATCGGACTTGGTGATGTCAGACTGTGGTGGAGGAAGAAAGAAGAGAAACAATTATTATGCATGATTATGCAGGGACTACAATCAACCTCTGTGCTCTACTCCAGAAACATATTTCCCTGTAAGGACCCAGTCCCATGGAGACATTCCCACATAAACACCTGGCCAACAGAGTTCTTCTAAGCCCAAATGATAAGATCACTGATAAGATCTTTATCACAGGGCTTGGACAACTGTTTCTTATTTAAAAGGTTTGGGATATTAAAATCCAATCCCAGAGCTCAGAAAATAATTTATCTTGCAACTGATTTGGGAACTGGAATGAAATCGAAGTGTTATACATTGGCTTCTCATAGAAACAAAAGACAAATGTGGTACTTCCAACGGTAAAAGTAGGGAAGGCAAGGTGATATCTTCGTGTGCTAATCCCAAAAGAAAATAGAAAAGGAGAGGCAGAGAGAGAAAGAGGGAGAAAAAAGGGAGGAGAATGAAAGAGGAAAGAAAGGGGGAGGAAAAAGAGAAAGGAGGAAGGTGGGTAAAAAGGAAGGGAAAGAGAGAGATTAAATGGGGGTGGGAGAAAAAGCAGAGGGTAGACCTGGAAGAAGCCATTGTTGTGCACATGGACACACGTTTCATAGTAAGCTAGAAAATGAGTAATGTAATATGGAGCCATATGATGGCTGGATAATGTATGGGAGCCAGAAAGGCAGAGTATGGTTTAGTTCTCAATTCCTTACACTGTTTTTCAGAGCTGAGATTCCTAAAACCTGATAATGGCAGATGCAGAGGAAGGAACTATGTAATCTGGTTTGGCTAGTTTTGTCCCACAAGCAAAAAGCTGTTCATTAGAACTCTGACAACTACATTTACAAATTGCCACCAATAGATAATTGTCTTGGCAATTCATTATTTCAAGGCTATTAGAATCGCTTAGGTTATCAAGCAAAACCAATTTTTAATCCTCCAAACTAAGTGCACAAATAAGACAAGATATGAAGGTAATACAGTTGTTTCCTCTCATCTGATAAAGAAGAGATCCTAAAGAGCCTCTTTTTTAATTTGAGCTGCACCTTGAGAACATTAACATTGAAACAATCTCGGAGACTGTAGGGTCTGCAGTCCCAGGCCCCTCTCAGGAATTCTTCCCAAATCCGTCACCCAGACAACAGCAAAAGTGTCTAGGGTTCACTGACCCATTTAATGTGCCCCTAAAGTCTCCCAGACTAATCCTCACCACCATGATCAGGAGTTAATGTTTCATTCTTCTTAAGACAGAAACAGAGGCCAGCAAAAACAAAAGCAAAACTGAGTAGAAGTTATCTGGAGATATTTCTAAATCTCAAATGTGGTCTAAGGGACAGTGTCCCCATCCTCTCTACTGTCTCTGGTTTAAGGCCTGGGGTGGGAGTGACCTCAATTAAGGACATTCTCCTCCCCCCTCCCCTTTCCCAATGACATAAGTTAGTGGGAAAGCCCCTCTTATGTCATTTCTAGCTCATCCCCATAGATCTGATCTGCTCCTTCAGAGGGGCTTCTCCAAATCTTTCTTGTCAGTCTTTCAATCACTCATAACAGTAGGGCACCTAAGCTAGCATGATTTATGGGCACAGAAATAAGAGGTGCTTCTGTTCTTAGAACAATAATACCCTGCTTCTCAGGAGCTCAGATTTGGAGTTGTTTAGGTTCTAACATTAATGTCCTTAAAGAAACAAGGATACAGGTTAGGAAATTCAGGAAGAGCTCTTCAGTAGCTGGTTTTTGTGTTTACTATTGTTGTTGTTTGTGTGAGTTTTTTTGTTTTAATAATGAAAGAAACTATTTGAGTCCCTAATGACAAGGTATGAAGGGATGTGTGGGGGCCATCCATAGAACACTGGGGGATTACAAATTGTTCGGGCAGCAGGAGGCACGTACTGAGCCTTGCGTTGTAGCTAGCAATGTGAGTCTGGGCATGGGAGAGGTGCCGAAGCCCCAGCCCGGGGCCGCTAACGTGCCCCTCCAAGCACTGCTGGTATGCCAACGCATGCTCGGCTCCACCCTAACCACGCCCATGTGCGCTGCCTCCCATATTAGGGCAGAAGGAGGCGGATGCCTGGGTATCCAGCTGAGTCGGAGGAGTGTCAGAACAGGCAGAGGAAAACAACATTTGTTTCACCAATTGAGGTTGCCTGGTGCGAGAAGCAAAGGGGGAGAAGTGGCAGGAGGGAACCAGGGGCTGAGTGAAAAGGTGAAGGGTTCGCAGAAGAACCCTTGAGGTCCCGAGGCATGCGTGCAGCCAAGGAAGGCGGGTTTCTCCCTAAGACATGGACGGAGGCACCAGCAGGGAGAAACATGAAGTCCTTGGGTCTCAAGTCAGACATATTTCAATCCTAATTATTAGCAGAATGACTGACTTCCCCGTTTCCCTTTAAAGATCCCATTTTCTCCCCAGCCGGTTGTCCACACTGCCTGCCTCCCAGCCCCCAACACCATCAGGAGCCTCAATGGAGGCGGCCGGTGGTCGGTGACAGAAACCATGCCAAAGGAGGGAGGCATTCCCTAACTGCCATATACTCGAGTCAAAGGTCATTGTCTCGTCTCGAGCAGAGACCCTCCCAGTCGACTCCGGACTCCGGAGACAAGCAGACACAAGCTGACGTCTCCGCACTCCCAGATGGACTGTGAATCCGAGATAAGCAATCCTTCTTTCCCTTTCATTCTCCGCGTCCCTCAGTCCACCACGGCGCTGCCCGCAGCTCCCTAAACCTGCTGCATTTTTAGACCCATATTCGCGCAGCCGCCCCCCGGGGTCTAGGCTGCCAACACCCGCCGCGGCCCCGTAGCTTGCTCTTTGATGGTGCAGTGGCGCCCCACCCCCATCTCCGGCCCACCGCCTGTGATGACAAAGGTGACCCCGGCTCACCATTTGACCTGTGTCCCTCCCATGGTCCCCTCCGGGCTCCGGCTTCAGCAAGCCTGCTTGTCCAGGCGGAGTGGGAGGCTGCTTCGGATCACATCTCCCCGGCTTGCGGGCATGTCTCACCCCCGGCCAGGGGCAGGAGGGGCGAACTAGTGGGGAGATGCGCCCTGTGCAGGTCAGGGGTGGGGAGGACGGAGAGCCGGGGGCTCCCAGCCCCCCGTGTTTTCCCGACAGCTCAGACCCTGCAGCAGCAGCAGCAGCAGCAGCAGCTCGGCCTCGGTGTACGCCGACTCCCTTCGCAGGCTGCCGGTCCCTAGCTCTGGCATTTTGGTCCTCGCCGCCGCGAGGCTGCGCGCATCCCTCGGCTCCCAGGCATCTCAACCCATTGCCTCAGAGCCCGAGCCCAGGAAGACGGCGGCTCTGCTCCGCGCCGCGCTTCGGCCGCCGGTGCCGGCGGAGTGGGCAGGGGCGGCGACTGTGCAGCGCTCCTGCAGACCCCTCCCCTCCCTCCCGCAGCCTCCTGTCACACGCGCTCCGCTCGCTCCGGGAGGCGGCGGCGGCGGCGGTGCAGGGCTCCCAGCTGGTGCGATCGGCGGATAACACGGCGGGCTGACTGGAGCTGGGCTCCGGGTGGAGAGCGAGGTAGGGAGGAAGGGAGGGAGGGGCGGAGGGAGGGAGGGAGGCGCAGAGGGAGTCAAGGAGCTGCGAAAGGAGTGGGGGGGAGGGGAAGGGGGGGGGGGGGGGGGAGGGGGGAGGCACCGCGGTCTGCTCAATCTCCGGGAGAGGAAGCCGAACCGAGGACGCAGTCCTCCCAGTCCATTCCTCGTCCTGGTAAATGGCACACTCGGGCAACTCCCCCAGGCAAGGAAATTGTTGTCTTTTCTGATCTGAATCCTTCCTTCGTGGACACCGAGGCCCAGAGAGAGACCTGAACGTGGCTCTGCGCGCGGGGGCGGGGGTGGGGCAGGGGCTGGATGGAGACGAGCTCCCCTCCCAACGTCACTCCCACCCTTGCCCCCCCACCTGGTTGTTGGGGTTTTTTTGTGTTTGTTTGTTTTTAAACTAAGACTAGTTTCTTTTTTAAATAAACAGCCTGTCTAGCGACCCCGAAATTATCACGCAAAAGACAGTGGATCCCCCCGCCCCCCTCCCCCCCACCGCACACGGTGGGGAGGGGGAGAGTTTCACCGGAGGGGCCGAGGACGAAGGGCCTGGCGATGAGAGGTGGTGGATTGCCAACCACACCACCCTCATCTCCCCACACCTTTCTTCCAAAGCCCTCCTTGAACTGGGCACATGTTCCTGGGCTGTGAGACCCTGTCTGGAACACTGTTTCTAAGAATCTCTAACCATTTTGGAGCCCATCACCTTGAATTAGGAGAATCTCTCTCCTTGAGCAGAGAGTAGCCCGTCCTCCTGTTCCACATCTGAGGTGGAAGTACGAAGCAATTATTTAGGTCTCCCTTCCCAGAGGGGTTCATTGAGGAAAAGACCAAGTGACTGATTACCCGGCAGGGGGCAGTGAATGGGGGATAATGAGATTCCAAAAGAAAGGTGAAATAAGGGAGAATTGAGCAATAGAAAAGTAAATGTGGCATATTTTCCTCTAACGCCTCCCCCTTAGACAAGCTGTGATGATTTTTCCATTTCTGCATGATTTCCAGTGAGTCACTTGTTCTCAGTGTCTCACCCCCCACAGCATCGCCTGGGTCTCTAGGCCTAGAAGACAGCAGGTGCTCTCAGGAGGAAATGCAGACTCTTTTCTGCTCCCTGACTCAGGCAGGCTACATGAGGCTCTGAAGAGTGAAAGGCCTTGTAGGCAAGCAGGAAACAATAGATCTAATTGTATTACCGAGCATCCTTTGAATTTGTCCCAAGTGATAGTCTCATTAAAAAAGGCTAGAAAGAAATGTCAGGGACCAGCAATCTCTGATTGAGAGTCCATTCTGGAAGTGTGGGAATTACATCAAGTTGAACAGGGTTGCCAACATTTTGTAACATTCTTTCTTTTGAAAAGAATTCAAAATGACTTCAATAAATCAGAAAAAGGTCCATTAAAGACAAGATGGCATTCAACATGAGCAAGAAATAAATGAAAGAAACCCAAAACACAGAAACAAAATGAGGAACAACTGGCTGGTTGAAGTTTACTTAACAATAGCATGGGAAGGATAGTGACACAGATTGAGTTGGGCCCAACTCCCCTGCCCACAAATTCACTAAGAGGCACCAGAGCTCAGCAGGGTGTTCGATCTGTTATTTCTATGAAATAGGTAGCTTCAGGATGAAGGTGCCAGGCAGGCTGGCACCTTCTCTGGCACATTTAGACTTAGAGAGTTGCCTAGGGCACTGATAGATTGAGTCACTTGTTCAGGCTCACATATCCAGTAAGTCAGAGGCACGACTTGAACTCAGTTATAATACTTTTCAAAAAGCCCTGAGGGGTCATAGTAGAATATAAATTAAATATGACTCAGCACTGAAGTACAGTTATTAAATAAGCTAATACACTGGGATGTGTTTACAGGAGCATGGCTTTCATTAGCCAAGGAAGTAATCCTTCTGCCATTACAGTGGGCATTAGTCAGGCTTTATGAGAGCACTGTGACCCTTTTTTGCCTCTACATTTGACTCTGAAGGATATTAACTTTATCGCTAGATTCACACACTTACCAGCTCAGTCAAATTTTTACTAATCCACACTTCCCAGTTCTGTCAATGAACACTGTAAACATGTGGTGCCCTCACACAACTGGACTCGTTTCTTCCCTTTGCTTCAAGCCTGCCACCATCTTCTTCTCATTCTGCATCCACCACTTACAACTGTACTCTGACTCTCAAGACAGTGTAATAGAACTATGAAAGCTTAAAACGGCACTAAGAATTTTCAGATATGCTGTACTCGAAGCTGCTGGCTTTGACCTGATTTTACTCTAATCATGCCCCCATGTGGCCATGACTAAACATGATCCCTGCAACCATGCACTGAAACAGCATTTTTGAGCTTGAGGAAATATTTGTCACTTCACCTTTAATCTCCCTCAGCCCCTTTCCCCCCAGCCATGAAGGCCATAGGAGGGTGGCTTTATAATCAAATATTGACAGTGTGAAAAGGATAAAGGAGTTGAGGGTTGCACAACTCTTTAAGTCATTCACTTGGGCCAAGGTCCCCAACAGTCCCCCCAAATGTCACTTTTGGCTGGGATCATTATAAACAGGTCATAGGGTGATAGTTTACCTGGAGGAGCTGGCCTTGGATGAGGGTCCTTGATGCCCCTCATATTGCTGCACTAGTGCCCGAACACTCCAGTATGGATTTTCGATTTCCTCATCCATGCTGCTATTTCTAAAGACAGGTAACCAAGAAGGGAGATAGTGTCAGTCCCTCAACCCTGCCATGACTCAGGGTCACTCCTCATTAGATACACAGCCCTAATGATATGGTACATTTCTCTAGTGTGGCTTGGCCTTTTGGGTTCACATTAGGGCATGTGGTTGGGTTCAAAAGAAGAAGCAAATATCCCACCCATCTCCTAGGAAAATGAATGAATGAGTGAATGACAAAATAAATAAACACACAGCAATAGTATAATTCAGCATTTGCAGTCTCAAAAAAATTTTCAGGAAAAAAAAATTTCAGAAAAAGCTCCTTACTCTTTGGTAACTGCAAATTTAATACATCTCCAGAAGAGCAGTGTTTCCTAGGTCCCCCTAGGCCTTCATGTGCCCTCACAAGTCAGGGACTGTCTGGGTGGTGTTAGTACCTGGGCATCGTTATATTTAAGGGAAAGGAGTAGAGAGAGAAGGGCAGTTCCCCACGGCACACTCCTTCCCCTCACCTCTGTCTGTATCGGAAGACATCTCGCCCCGATCGTGACATGTCGTGACATACATCTGCCAAAGCAGCAGCTGCCCCCTGTGCCACAGCAGTGGCAGAGTGTGGTTGGTGACTCTGCACTGGGGCTCTGGAGTCCCTTCTGTGGCTCACCATCCTATTAGAGCCGGGTTTGAAATGTGCTGCCAAGGCAAGGACCAGCCTCATGATGGACTTCAGGTTTCCTTCCACAATGTCTGTGGGATAGAAGAGACCCCAAAGAGATCTTAGGACAGTAGCAAAGGGCTCAAGGACCTCACTACTCCCATAAGATAGGGATATAATGGTCCGGACTTCCTAAGCCCTCTTGACATGGGGACTAGATCAGGATACAGTGACTATCTTGCCTTCCCATTCACACAGTTTCTCTAGAAAGAGGGAGAATGCAGGAACAAAGCAGTATGACAGGTCTGATAAGAGTCCAGCTGAGGAAATGTCCACACTTGGTCTTTTCTACTTTGTATGGCATGGACTGAAACAAGGTCGGTGGCTGCCAATTATGGAGCTTCATTCCTGCTGGAGCCCCACCAATTACACCAGCTCCCCTGGACTGTTCTAGCACGACAGAGAAGAGATCCTGTTTGCCACAGATTGATGGGCAGACTGCTCCAAGAGCTAGCAAAACCTCCTTTTAGTGCTAGTGAGTCAGAACTGGAGTCATGGGACTCCTCGGCTCTGGCTTCACCTGCCAGGGGCCCCTCCACAGCAGCAGCAGTTCAGGCTGATCTGAGAAGTATTATCTTCTCCCAAGTAAACCTAAGGTCCCGTGTGACTAACATCCTGTTAGGTGTTATTAGAAGACATGGACAGGAAGCTGTGAAATCTCTCTTTCCACACCTGAAGGCTTCTATAATATGAACGGTAATGTGGAAAAACAGCCTGCTTCTAGACCAGCTGCATGACAGCCGGATCAGTCAGTCAACAAACATTCATTAAGTGCCTACTATGTGCCAGGCACTGTGCTAAGCACCAAGACAAAATTTAGATACTGATGTCCTAAAATATTTCCTAGTCAAAAGATCAAGAGAACTAAGAAATGCACAGAAATATACTTTCATTTTTCTAATTTCAATAAGGCAGTTTTAATATCAACTTATCAGTTGTCATTTCTTTTCTAACCATTAATTCTCCCTCACACTCACATCCTTGAAAACCCAACACGGAATTATCATGAACAAAGCATTCCTATCTTTTTTCCCTTTGCCATCTGCTGAAACTGGCCTCTCAAAGCATTCAAGATTTCAGGATTACTCTGTCCCAAAACTCTGTTCTTTTCTTGGAATAATAACCTGAGAACACATATCTAGTTCTATTCTAGCCAACCCTTAAGCTATATCACCTAGGGAGTTCTGAAGGTGGCTATCAAGAGCTAAAGTTGAGAGGATTCATCCTCTATGTATGTGCGTGATATGGCACTGACCTTTAGCAGAGGTCTGGTGCATTCGAATCTTTTTGGAGGCCACAAACTGTAGTACTTTTTCCACATTGTTCTTCATCTCCTGCTGGTTGTTGGGACTCAGCTTCATCCCATTCAACTTCTCTCCAGCTGGGAGAAAGAAAATACTATATTAATAGGGTCGTATCTGCCTGAGGTCCATTAAGAGTGAGGACATCAGTGGGGGGGGTTGATTTGGAAACTAAATGTTTGACTAAATATAAAGAGAGTGAATTGTCTTAGTCTGCATGGTTCTGATGGGGATGGAAAAAGAAGAATAAGTTGTGTTTTGGTGCCTTCATATTTTTATACTTATCTTTGATGCATTTTGACATTACTATGTCCATGAATAGTTTAAAAAACCCCTGGGCACAGGTTTTAAAAAAAATGTGAAGAGACCACAAAACAGGTAAAGTTAGAATGGAAGAAGTTAAGCAGCTGAATTCATGAGTTATACCACATATTGACTCATAAACAGACTGACTATTTAAAGGAGTTTCCCTCAAGGACCCCAAACAAGGTCAGTTGATGATGAAATATCCATAGTACCATAACTGGTTACAGAGGAGTGCCACAAGTATCAAATCTTCAAGAGAAAAGAAAGGCCCTTTCTTAAAACCCCAGTGTGCAAAGGATAGAGGGTAGACTGGAGAGGAGACATCTAGATTCCATTTGTGATGTAAATATGGGCAAATCTCTTAAACCATGCCTCAGTTTTCCCATCTTATCTACTTTGTGGGGAGGCAGTGAGGTTGAAGGAGTCATGAATTGACCTGTTCTTCCAGAACTGTGGGAGCTGATGTCACCTTACCCAGAACCTGAGGACTACTAACCTACAATCTCTATCAGGTATGCCAAGATGACGCCATCCCGAAGATCCTGCCGAAGATCTTGGACAGGTTTCACCTCTGGCTTCTTCTTCAGCTGGGCATTCACCCACGCCACATAGGTCTGCAATTGTTGCTAAAAAATGAAGAATGGGAATAAGAGGCCAGGTTAGCTCTCCTTCCTCCCCACCCCACCACTGTCATGGTAGCAGATGAAGCCAAACTATATAATTATCTTTGCACAGTATAAGAATATGGAAGTTCTAAGGCTGGGGAGAATTCTAGAATCCTAGAATTGGAAGGGACCCTCGAGGCCATCTAGCCCAAATCCCTGCCCAGTGGATGAGTTTCCTGCAGCAACATCCCTGAGAAGTGAGCATCTGGCTTCAGAGAAAGCACAGCTTGATCAGAAAATGGAGTCTGTGCCAAAGATCTTTGGTTGAGAGTGAACCCACAGGCTGCATCTCTGACTCATGTGACCCTAATTGCTATACACAGATAAGCAACCAATATTTCCAATGATACATGACTGCAAATGTTCCTGAGTTTGCCCTTGGGCTGACTTAGTAGGAGGTTTTAGTTCAGTCAGCAATCTGGTGTTTAGATAAAATCACAGCTATCATTTCAACTCCTGCATTGTTCTCCAGAGGTTTACTTCTGAACCAGTTGCCAGCCCTTGCTTTTCACAAGTTCTCTCCCATACTCTGAACATAAAAGGAAGATTTGGCCTACAGTTTGATACTTAGGAGCTGAGCTTGTCTAACTAAAGTCAATCACTTTAACCAGATCCATACTTCTTCTCTTGTAATTGCTTCCTTCAGGATATACTCGGGTGAAACCCACAATTCACCTTTAGTCCTAAAGATACTATCTTGAACCCTGATTATCAAGATTTCTACAGTTAGGTTTAATCCAGGTTTGTGTTCTCTAAGGGGACCTGATTTACCCAATGCCTATATAAAAATGAAATGTTGCTATCTCATTATTACTTGGATTTCACTGCAACTGACACAGGCACTGAAGAGGTGATTTTCTCTCTTCTAGTCTATTCTTAAATTCTCCAAATCTGGCCTTGGGATCAGACAAAGAAAGCTTCCCAGAGAAACTAATCAGCCAGCTACAATGAGAAGAGCCATAGGAAATAGGAGTACAAGAGCTGTGGTTGTATCCTCATAAAATGGAAGAAGAAGGTGAAGGGTAAACTTTTTACTGACTCTCTCTCAAATGATAGAGGTTGTGGTGAGGGGACCTTGAAAGCTAATTTTTATCTTTGCGCTTTTGCCTATTTGATAAAGAAAATTTATTGTACAGGCCAATCTCTGAGTCATCTGACTGTGTTGTGAGAAGTAAGGCAATAACATGGCTTTAGTAAAGAGGGTGTTAAAGATTTGGAAGAGAGTGGCTCCATATGGATCCATCCAAAATTCAGCTATTAGATTGAAAGATTGACAAACGGGCAAAAAAATCAACTCAAACCAACAATCAGAAACCATTTATAGAAAATACGCACAGGTAATCTCACACACATCCCATTCTGCCCACCAAATAGATATACTACATGATGTTGGAGTATCTGGCCAGAATCCAAAGTACAACATAATTTAATTGTCACTAAGAATGAAAAAATAGAGGTGTCAGAAATGGGGATTGGCTACCTTAGGGGGAATAGGTTCCTCTCGGTAGAGATTTCCAGGTGAAGACTGGAAGGAGATGTTGTAGAAGAAATTCTTGGTCAGTTACAGTTTCTACTAAATTGACAATTGTCTTCTGACTGTGATATTCTGTAATTTCCTTTAATGGCAGAATCACTAGATTAGGAGATCAATGGACTGCTATAAACATAGCATCTCTGGATTTCTGCAAGGTATTTTACAAAGTTTCTTGTGTTATCTTTGCAGACAAAATGCAAAAAAAACAGCTAGATATGAAATAGTCACATGGATTCAGGTCTGCTTAAATGCCCATCCAAAGAGTAGACATTAATGAGTTGATGTCAACTTGTCTTAAGATCTATAGTGAAATATTCCAGGGATCTATCCTTGGCAATGTGTCTTTTAACATGTCTGCAAGGGATTTAGATGAAGGTATAGATAGTTTGTTGATTAAATTTGCAGATGAAAGGATGTTGGATACCAGACTCCTCATCCAAAAAAATTTCAACAGACTAGACAATGGCTGAATTTAATGAGAGTTAATACAGCTAAATGTAATGTCTAACACTTGGGTTCAAATAGTTAATTTCATAAGTATAAGATGGCTACAGTAGAGATCTGGGCATTTTAATGGACTGCAAATTAAACATCATGATCTTGCAGCCAAAAAAATGTAATGCAATCTTAAATTGCCCAGAATGAGGGAGATAACAGTCCCCCTATACTTTGCCCTGGTCAGAACCAATTCTGGAGTATTGTTTTCAGTTCTAGGCACACATTTTAAGGCTGCTGTCAACCTGGAGCATTTCCCGAGGAGTGCAACAGGCAAGGGGCCTGGAAACTATGTAATATGAGATCTGGATCAAGGAACTAGGAATGTTTAGCCAGGGGAAGGGGAGACTTAGGAGAGATATGACAGCTATTCCTCAAGTATCTGAAGTTCTGTCATGAGGAAAAGATAGATTAAACTTGTTCCACTGGGGTCAGGACAGAGCTGGGGCAACGGGTGGAAGTTGAAAAGAAGCAGTTTTCAATTAAATGGAAAGAAAAACTTCCAAGCAATTACATCTGTCCCAATGAAGATGGGCTGCCCCAGGAGGAAGAGGGCTCTCCTCAACCAGAGGTCTGTAAGTGAAGGTCCAGTGACCACTTTCAGGAATGCAGTAGAACTGGTTACTGTTCAGATAAGGAGCTGGACTCCATGGCCTCCTGAGTACCTCCCAACTTGGAGATTCTGGGACTATATTCTAAAGTTCTTTCTACTACACCATAATGCAATGCTGCATCTGTTTCCTTCATGCTGAAGGTCAGGTAGCTGATTCACCAGGATTCAATGTCTGGCTATTATGGAAGTCCAAGATCTTGAACCTAGTAATGAAGTTCAAGTGCTAATTGCATCAGGGTATAATTTTGTTAAAATACTGCGGAGCTCCAAGCTCCTGAATTCCCTTAATTAGATGATCTTGGTAATTGCTCATCTGCTGCTTCCGAAGTTTAAATCTTTATTATGTTTTTCTTGTGGGAGTATTTGTGGGAGGAAGAAAAATCCCCAAGATTATAGTACCAGAGGATTAATATACTGCCATCTACTGGACGCTGTGGGGAGTACAGTAACCAGCTGGAGCCCAAACATCAAAAGCCATTTTACTACTAAGATTTACACCTTGAAATGAAGAAAGCTGTAACATTTGCTAAACTCAGTACAGGTAACTCTCCATAATGACTGGCTGAGGATAGCAATCCCAGTGCTGACATCTCTGAGCACCAAAAATGTTGCCTGAGGCAGAGTAGCCAAAGGCTACTCACTTATAAGCATTCTAGGGAAGATAGAACCAAAGGCAAGTTTTTAGTGCTGAGAGATCATGTAGTTTAACCCTGTCAATTGACAAATATAGAAACTGAGGCCTAGAGCAGTGTCCTTGTCTAAGGTTATACATATGCTAAATAGAAGATCAGAATTAAAACCCAATTCTTCTGAACTGGATTTATTCAAAACTATGAGGTTCAGGGGCAGCTAGGTGGTGCAGTTGATAGAGCACTGGCCCTGGAGTCAGGAAGACCTGAGTTCAAAGCCAGCCTCAGACACTTGACACTTACTAGCTGTGTGATCCTGGGAAAGTCACTTAATCCCATTGCCCAGAAAAAAACAAAAATAAAAACAAAAAACTAGGAGGCTCAGGTAAGGAAAGGTATAGGGACCGAGGTAACAGAGAATTAGCAAACTCTGTTTCCTTGGAGGAAGGAGGAGTCCTGGAATGAAGAGGCCAGAGCTCAAGTCTTGGCCCTGATATTCTAGCTAAGTGGTCCTAGAAAAGTCACTTAACTTTGAACCTCAATTTCCAGATCTGTCAAATGAGAATATTAATACTTGATTACCTGCCTTACAGGGTGATTGTGAAGAGAGTGCTTAGTCAACTATAAAGTACTATATAAACAGGAGCTATTATTAACTATCATAGTTCATCTAATCAAAACCTGAGTGTATCTTAAACAACTGCATCAATAAATTGGGAAGGAGGGGAGGCATATTATCAATTTTACATCAGACCAAAGAATGTTTCTACCCAAGTCCTCAAAGTCTCTGATCCGTGATTAGATAGAGCTTCCTAATAGCAATATCATGAATTATATTCATCTCAGCACAACATTGTTAACTAGTGTAGCTTCCAATATCCTCTATTTTGAATGCCACAGAGTGGCTTGAATGGGCCATATCTCAGACTTAACAGAATGTCCTCAGAGTTGCCAAGTATGTTTAGTTCTGTCTAGCCTGTTCTTAGACATAAATCACAAAGTCTTAGTAAATATATATATATATGTGTGTATATGTGTGTATATATATGTATATGTATATATATATACACACACACACACATATATACATATATATACACGTTTCCCTTCTCTTTAAGCCTAACGAGGATGATCCAGCCAGTTAAGTTAATACTCACAGCCTCTGTTTATTGCTCAAAACCTATCTGAATCCCCCACCACTAGGTCCCACCAGTTACAGTTAGGTTGACAACAGTAATACCTTTCTATCTAATTGGATAGGTGGAAATGGACAGTCAGTAAGGCATTTGATCTAAATCAGTCAATACAATAAATACTTATTAAGTGCTTACTATCTGCCAGACATTGTGATAAGTAAAGCACTGGGGATATGAACAAAGGCAAAAAACCATTCAAAGGAGCTCACATCCTAAAAGGGGAGCCAAGTCAATCACTGTGTATATATGACATACAGAATAGACGGAGAGCAATCTCGGAGGGTAGGCACTGGTTGAGGGGGTTGGACCAGGAAAGGCCTCCTGCAGAGGGTGGGATTTAAACTCTGTCTTGAAGGTAACTAGGGAAACTAAGAGGCAGAGGGGAGGAGGGAGAGCATTCCAGGCATGGGGGTCAGCCAATGCAAAGGCATGGAGATGGGAGATGGAGTGCTATGTGCAAGGAACAACACATATGCCATTGTAGCTAGATTGTA